ACATTACCTCCTGGCGCACCGTGGATGGGGATTTTGATTATCAGATATACTGGAGCAATATTGTAGACTTTTTTGAGAATGCCCCAGGTCCGGCTGCACGAGGAAGGGTGAACGAACTTCTTGAGTGGTGGACCAGGTGGGTAATGACTAGCTCGGTTGGACTGCTGCTAACTCGGGCCCTGTGCAGAAAGGTTTTCGGGAAGAATCACCGACAGGATTTGACGCCAGATGTTGTTTCGCGAATGTCTGTCAGTGCTCTTGCTACTCAGAGGCAGGAGAAGGAGGATGCTGTATTTGACTCCGACTAGGTTGCTTGAGCTCGTGTCCACTTTCCTTTAATTGCGACACGACTCTTTGTTAAATAGTAGTATTAATCAAGTGAAATAGACTTGTTCCTGCACATCTGCAATCATTGTCCCTAGCACAGTTTGAATTTATATCCTTGAACGTTGCATTGGAATGTAATGATCGGATTAGTGGACAAGTTCGTCAGCGATATAGACTCGATCCACCGATAAATAATGTTTACTTTAACACATCTTCTAATATCCATCAGGGACCTTGCATTTTCTAGTGTTCGTGCCCATAGGACTGATGAAGCTTGACAGGATGAATCCAAGAGATACAGCAAGGCCATAGCAACCTCTGTATTTTCCGATATTCATGGTGGGTTCTGCGTTATCTGATGTTCATGCCCTTAGCGACATTTTCTAGTCTTCACGCTCATGACACAATTCAGCCTGCAGTTGGTGGATTCACCCGCTTGTGTCTGTCAGGCTGAATTCAGGAAATACAGTCACGCTATGGTGGGTTCCGCATTATCTGAACTTCGTGCCATTGGCATCATTTTTTAGTTTTCACGCTCATAGCACAATTCAGCTTGCAGTTGGTGGATTCACCCGCTTGTGTCTGTCAGGCTGAATTCAGGAAATACAGTCACGCTATGGTGGGTTCCGTGCTATCTGGACTTCGTGCCATTGGCATCATTTTTTAGTTTTCACGCTCATAGCACAATTCAGCCTGCAGTTGGTGGATTCGCCCGCTTGTGCCTGTCCGGCTAAACTCAGGAAATACAGTTACGCCATGGTAGGCCCTGCCTTATTTAGTGTTCGCACTAATAGCACTGATGAAGCTTGACCAGATGGATCCAAGAGATACAGCAAGGCCGCGACAACCTCTGAATTTTCTGATATTCATAGCAAGTTTCTGCGTTATCCGACTTTCGTGCCGTTAGCATCATTTCTGGTTTCCATACTCATAGCACAATTTAGCTTGCAGTTGGTGGATTCACCCGCTAGTGTTTGATAAGCTGAATCTAGGGAATTCGGCTATGCTTTGGTGGGCTTCGCATTATTGCTTGTTGAATGGTAAGTGAGATACTGTGCCGGCCCATAGCCCACTGCAGTTAAATTGGTCAACATTTAAATGGGATATAAGTTGTTTTGTCGTTCGTATCACTAAACATACCTTTTCGTCTCCTCAAACACTAAGGATCCTGTTGTCAGGATCCAGTTCATGGATGATCGGAGTCCCCCCAATTGGTTGAATATACAATGTCAGTTGATCAACTTCGGAATATTATTCACATTTGCCAATGCTGACCAGAATGCACCGACTTGCTCCATAAAGGTCATGACGATTACGTGCCATGATGTTAGTCAGGATCAAGTTCATGAATGATTGGAGTCCCCCCAATTGGTTGAATATACGATGTCAGTTGATCAGCCTTCGGAATATTATTCACATTTGCCAATGCTGACCAGAATGCACCGACTTACTCCATAAAGGTCATTTGACGATTACGTGCCGTGACGTTAGTTCCCGAAGGCTTCGCCAGAAGAAGATTTCTCTTGAAGTGTTTTGAGTCCGGCACCAAGTTGTGAGTCTTCAGCTGCATGCTGACATTTGATACCATTCTTATCTGTTCACCAATTTACTGATGTGCATCTCGGTGTCCATCAAGAGATAAAATTTACTGTGATATATTTTGTAATACAATTTGCTCCTCATGTAATGTATTGTTGCGAGTGACGGCTGGCAAATAGAAATGCAATACGCACGACTCTACTGCCACTATCCTGTTGCAACATAAGCTTACACTTTGAACCCTCGGACAAGTCACATGCAGGTCATGGTCACTCTTAGCTAGTGACAAAATAATACTTGGGGACCGAACGCTATGTATCTGCATTACTATGGACATCACCAGCATATCTTTCACCTTCATACATCACAATCTCCTTCTTGTTCCCTTGTAACCTCGGTCTGTATTCAACTTCATGAACATGCACCGATTCGTTTTTTCTTAGATCCATCTTAGTGGAAACGCCTACTCAGCAAATAATGCTACTTCGCTGGTGTGCCTTTAAATCGGTCTTTTCTCGACATTGCCAAACATTTACATGTGAGAGCGGTCAGCAAATTTACGTAGAATGTTGTGATGCTCCAAAATATATTGCTTTAAATAGCTTTGTCATCTGTTCACCGATTCACTGATGTTGTGATTATGTACTATGTATTGTGATATATGGCCTTGTACTTTCCTCACCAGTTCACTGATGAGATCACAAGGTATGTGGTCCTCATGTATTGTAGCTATCCATTGGCATCGAGCTTATTTCTGGCAAAGTCACTAGGACTCTCGAGCATTTGATTTCTCGGTACCTCCTAGACTCGATCGTAATGGACACGAGAGGCCAGCGCAGCATGATGCAAGCCTGAGATGCGATATTCGTCGTGCTAGGTGTGGTTAAACTAATTGTCTCTTGGATTCCCATGCACATCGTCGTCATTCGCCTGCAGAGAAAGTACTCGCCAGGAGACGAGTCGGTTGAACGAGAGACACCCGTCTTGACAAGTAAGCAGACCGTCATATGCTGCGATGCGACCGCTCATACGATCCCTCGAATTGCAGGCTTACGAGGGCGAAGACGCAGAATATACACAGTATTCCGATGTCTCCCTCTGTTATACGAGTGTGATGGATTTTGCTTGTTTATTTTTCTGACACTTGTACAGATCGAGTTTGTATGCGTACTCATATTCAGCCTGTATTTCTAATGCCTGAACGGAAGTCTGACTTCTGCTCATCGTGTAGTTCAAGTCGATTCTCCATGAAGAAGGTTTTGGTTGGATCTCAGTGACAGTTAACAGTTGAGGTGATTACGGCACCAAACGTCAGTCGCCAACTTCTTGACAGACAACGCAGAACTGAAATTGTAACAAATACAAGGTAAGAAAGAAAAGTGCCATAGCCATTCCATGATTAAATTCATACACCAGGCGCCAATCTATGTGAAGAATGAGCTGCCACGTGCGTAACGAATGCGTCAAAGTAGATCGCTGCCCATGCATGTCTTTCTCGATCCCTAAGCTCTTTTCTCGGAATTCTTGCGATGTGTCCCGTTGCTTGATCATGCGACTCAGCTCGTCGTACAGGCCCTGCACATCAGATACTACAGCGTCAACTTTCTGTCATCATCCACCGTGACAAGGATCGCTTGTTTCTTCTGCCATTTGATCGACGCTTGATGCACCTTCGAAGCGAGTTGTGTCGTCGGAACACGGATATACGAGGCTGTCAAATTCAGCCTCGTCGCTGTCACAAAGGCTGGTATTCCATCGACGTAGTCGTCTTTTTCTTTGAGATATTGCGCGTTGTCCCATGCGTGTGTGATGGGCATCCGCTATTTGTCCTTGATAGGGCTGAAAGGAATACCCTTGCCCGAGGATTTCATGCGCCCGAATATCACAAGAACGTACAATCCGACTTCCGAATAACGCTCATGGGAGACACCGTCAACTAGAGGAATGCACCTGTCGAGATGACCATTATGGATCAGACGTTGATACCACTCATCGTTCTTTGTCAGGACATAAAGGTTATTCTTCTCCTAGGCTCCTTCTGCCTCGATCCACGGTGCTGCACGCTCGGTTCCTCATTGCTATAACGCTTGTTGGCCTGTTCACGGTCAACGATTTGCTACCGGGTGCACCAATAGCACGAGTGTTGTGGGGAAAAGAAAGGAGTTGATAGCGTCGGGAGAGGATTGAAGTAAAAAGTAACTGATAGTAAGTATCGAAGGAGTCAGTTGTAGAGCAGAGTAAACAATGATGTGACTCATCGAAATACGGTGTAGTGGCAATAGCTCAGTAGAGTGCAATTTGAGTGACAGCTATGGTGCAGCTGCCAGTAGGCGTGTGGATGACATGGACGAGGTACAGGGATAGCGGTAGTAGACACCGGAAGTCGGGAACGTTCAATTGACCAAACGTTGCGCATACATATTTGACGCGGACTTGTTCCGAAACGGACAGCGTGGGAGTCTAGTGTTTTGAGGCCTGCAAACAACTGCCGTTTCTATCCACGCCGTGATGGTTCTCAATCCAATCAGTACTTCTTATCTCACTCAGCGCTCAGCGCTCAGCAGTTGAACGCCGCGGCGTCTTCTTGTCGGGCCGGCAACTCGGTTTACTCCCAAATTCGTATCGCTTGGAGTACCAAAAACGCAAGCAAAACGAAGTAGAGGTTGAGGAGGACGACAAGTAAAAGTAGTAATGATTGTTAATACATTCTTCCTAGGGTATTCACCCGGAAATTGAAAGTGAGTTGTACTTTTAGAGAATCACATTGAGTATGTATGCGCCTCAACAGTCATACCGCTGCTGATCATATCGGCCTTAGTGTCAGTGACAGAAACGAACTCACTCGGTTTGGGATCTTGGCACCAGTCTTCCCCCTAATTCTAGAATTGTTGGGCATTCCTGACATACCCACATCTCGAAAGCTCCAAGTTCCAACATTCGATGGCAGTATCGTTCTCCAAGATTCGGACGAGACCCTGTTGTACAGTTTGGCTCGTGCGTGCCTCTTCAAGTTGGTACTTACGTTCACCACTTTACGCAACCTTCCTCCTGACGCATACATCGGACCAGCTGTGTCTCAACTGATCGCATAGCCTCAGATCTATTCTTCGCTTTTCCTCACGCTTCGAAGCTTCTGGTCTTCGAACAGCCTGTTGATCGGATCGTTCCAATCTAGGATAGCCTAATCAGGTCTGTCAATGGACCTGGCTTGCCTCCATGTACATGTACTGTGCTCGTGAAATTGTACTATTTTCATGCGATTCATTTGGATCAACATGATGGTCTGCCTTGCACCTTATGCTTCCTTCGGCAATGGGCCTATGCCCGATAGCGTGACTAACTCATGATTAGCGCTCCAAGAATCCAGTCAACATGTTGGTCATGATTAGCGCTTCAAGAATCCAGACAACGTGTTGGCCATGCTTTGGTCAAGGGTATTTAGTTCATCCCAGACGTTCTCTCTTTTCTCCCACCTACTTCTTACACCCTCACTTCGCTTACAGTTAGTAATCGACTACTACTCGTGATGAATGAAGACCATAGACCAGATCCTCCTCCAGAAACCAGCGAGGCACCCGTTTGTGAAAACTCGGTATGTAGTCTCGAGGGCTCACTCAATGTGGATGAGCGCTCATGGAATTCATCGCTGCTTGTGACGCTTTCTTCGTTCAGAGCCGACCCCGTAGTCGAGTCAAGCGGACGATTCGGAAATTTGCAAAAGGCGTCACCAAGAAACTTTTTGTGAGTACTCTGCTAGGTTTCCTTATTCTGAATATGGCTGACATTGTGCAGAAATTCTTCAAAATTTTCCGCAACCGCATTCCTGCGAACCAGAACGTAGACCTTCCAGATGCTTCAACCACTGTGGTCCAGACCGTCGAAATCGAAGGGGCTTCATCAAGTCAGAAAAACGAGGTAAGTGCTCAAACTTGCTATCCTACTCCTTCGGTTTTCTTAGAGGTGCATCTATTCTTCCAACGACAAGCATCTCGCCACATCTCAGATTCCCAGCGACTGCGTGAACCAAGGGCCGCGTGGAGAGCCTGATTCACAGGTATTGTCGTCAAATACTTTGACTTTCTTCTCTAATTTGGGCGCTCCCGCAGGTTCAGGCTGCTCCTTCTGGCGAGGAGGAAGTTCCTGATACTCACTTAGCTGACGCCGAACTTCAGGGTGCCCTTGATCGTGCACACAGCATGGGATTACTCGGGAAACATGCGACTTCTGTGGCATCCGCTGCCGACAATGCCCCAGCAGGTCTCGATGCCGCGGATAATTTTGAGACGAAGTATCTCCAACCCCTAAAGATCATTGATGGCGTCCTTGACAAGATCGCGGATGTATGAGCTATTCTTGTCTATTGGAAATGAACTAATCAAGTTGGATAGGTACATCCTTACGCAAAGATGGCGCTGGGCGTGCTGTCTGCTGCATCCAAAGTTTGTTTGGTTCCTCCCGGAGTGAAGTATCCTGCTCACAAGTCATAACTCTCTTTAGATTATAATCGATCAAGCAGAACGCGACCAATCGATATATAGTCTTCTCCAGAAATTGGCCGAAGTTTATCGCTTCATGACTCGAGACGACAATCTTGGCAAGATCGAATCAATGCGCGGTATCGTTAGAAAGATCGTTCAGCAGACTCAGGAGTGTGCCCGTTTTATCAGGGACTACTCGGAAACAAAGAACTTTTGTGCGTCACCATGCTATTGTACTTCGTTCATGAATCTCATACTATTATCGTAGGGAAGAGAATCGGGAAGAATGTCCTGTCAGAAACTGACGATACCATCAAACAGTACAGCGATATTTTGGATGACCTTATGCAGCAATTCCGGGACGAAGTCGATCGGGACGTGGCCATCTTCGTCCAACGTGCGGGTAAGGAGTCTGACATGCTTTTGTCTTTGCACTGACTGATACCCTTAAAGGTGAGACACTTGATCTCAGCGGCATGGTTTACGCAGGGGGCGCAGGAGTAGTCACTACGAAGCAATGTCTGTCAGGAACTCGCACGGACATTCTCTCCCAAATCACCAAGTGGATCAACAACAACAATGATTCCGTCCCACGCGTGATGTGGTTATCCGGCCCTGCAGGCAAGGGCAAATCAGCCATCGCGCACACGATCGCCAACTGGTTCAAGGAAACGGGAGGCCTTGGTTCATGTTTTTGTTTTGATCGGCACAGAGAAGGAGATCGTCTCCATGAAAAGATTTTCTCCACCATCGCGCTCGATCTTGCTGATCGTGATCCAGGGATGAAACGAGCGTTAGCAGCTGCAGTCGGGAATGACACCTCGCTCAAGAATACGAGGGACATTATCCAGCAGTGGCGCGAGCTTCTCATGGAACCGCTGAAGAAGTTCCCTGCGTCAAGCGTGGGGCCTGTCTTGATCGTGATCGATGCGCTGGACGAGAGCGGCGGAATAAAGACGCGGCAGGACCTTATCCGCATACTTGCCGGTAAACTTCAGAACAAAAAGGTTCCCCAAATCACCGAACTCCCTTCGAACTTTCGGATTCTCGTCACCTCTCGCCCGCTTCCTGATATCGAAGAGGGATTTGAAGGCGCTGGACATATTCTACGGTTGTCCATGGACAGTATTCCACCGGAAGTCGCGAAGTCCGACATCCAGGCATTCGTATCTGAGGAGTTGAAAGAGCGATCAGGATTTCAGGACACAGAATTCGCAGATCTCGCTGCGAAAGCCGATGGACTTTTCGAGTGGGCACGTCTCGCCTGCGAATACATCAAAAATCCCCCTCCGGGTGTACGCCGAATGGATCGCTTCGATGCCCTCATGAAACGCAGTGCCGGAAAGCAGAAAAACCTGCTGTATAATATGTATCTGGTCATTTTGAAAGAAATTATGAACAGGGATAGATATGATGATGACGAGCAGTACGAGAAAGCATTAGGAGGGTTTCGCTCCGTGATGGGACAAATACTCGGCACAGCTGAACCACTCCCCTTCAATTCCCTTCATATCATGCGGAAATACTTTCCAGACCGGAGCAAGCATGACAACATGGACATTATTAAGCATATGGGATCCCTCCTCAGCGGCACCACCAATTTATGTACCCCCATCCGACCACTTCACGCATCTTTCCACGATTTCCTGACAGACAAGTCATCCAGCGGAGCCTTTTTCGTCGACGTGTCCAAGGTACAGCGCGACCTTGCATTTGCGTCGCTACGAGTGATGGAACATGGCCTTGGCTTCAACATCTGCGGTTTGAAGTCATCTTACCTGCCTAATTCCCAAGACATGGAGCTGCCTGAACGAATCAAAACATCCATTTCCCCACATTTGTCCTATTCCTGTCGATATTGGGCTACTCATGTTCAGACAATGGACTTTGACGACGAGCTCGCAAAGGAAATAAGATCACTCTTCGGCGACGAGCGAATGATGTTCTGGATCGAAGCACTCGGACTTCTCGATGCAATCAGCGGTGCAATTGTTGTGCTTCCACTCGTTGCCAAGTGGCTGAAGGTGAGCACATGCCTACGAGGCAGGGTTGGACGAACAGCTCATACATATATACAGCATCGTTCTGGATATGAAGATCTGCGGTCCGCCACGATGGATATACAAAGATTCATGCAAGTGTTTGGCGGGGTGATTTTGCACAGCACACCCCATCTGTATTTATCAGCACTCCCGTTCTCGCCCGTCAATTCTACGATGGCTACCAAATTTACGGCTAAGTTTCAGAATACCCTTCGTCTGGCATCCGGCCGCGATTTGAACTGGACGGTTATTCAGGCCATAATCAGGGGGCACACCGGCTACGTTTGGTCAGTCTCGTTCTCACCAGATGGTACTCGCATCGCGTCTGGTTCGGAGGATAAGACCGTGCGGCTGTGGAATGCAGCAACAGGACAGCCATTGGGTGAGCCCTTGAAGGGACACACTGGCGCGGTTCGGTCAGTCTCGTTCTCACCGGATGGTACTCGCATCGCGTCTGGTTCGGAGGATAATACCGTGCGGCTGTGGAATGCAGCGACAGGACAGCTAGTGGGTGAGCCCTTGGAGGGGCACACTGGCGTGCTTCGGTCAGTGTCGTTCTCACCGGATGGTACTCGCCTCGCATCTGGTTCATATGATAACACCGTGCGGCTGTGGAATGCAGCGACGGGTCAGCCATTGGGTGAGCCCTTGAAGGGGCACACTGGCGTGGTTCGGTCAGTCTCATTCTCACCGAATGGTACTCACGTCGCGTCTGGTTCAGACGATAACACCGTGCGGCTGTGGAATGCAGCGACGGGACAGCCATTGGGTGGGCCCTGGAAGGGGCACACTGACAGCGTTTTCTCAGTCTCGTTCTCACCGGATGGTACTCGCATCGCGTCTGGTTCAATGGATAACACCGTGCGGCTGTGGAATGCAGCGACGGGACAGCCATTGGGTGAGCCCTTGGAGGGGCACACTGACACAGTTTTGTCAGTCTCGTTCTCACCGGATGGTACTCGCATCATGTCTGGTTCGCAGGATTACACCATGCGGCTGTGGAATGCAGCGACAGGACAGCCATTGGGTGAGCCCTTGAAGGGGCACACTGGCCCGGTTTACTCAATCTCGTTCTCACCGGATGGTACTGGCATCGCGTCTGGTTCATACGATAATACTGTGCGGCTGTGGAATGCAGCGACAGGACAGCCATTGGGTGAGCCCTTGAAGGGACACACTGGTGCGGTTCGGTCAGTCTCGTTCTCACCGGATGGTACTCACATCGTGTCTGGTTCAATGGATAACACCGTGCGTCTGTGGAATGCAGCGATGGGACAGCCATTGGGTGAGCCCTTGAAGGGGCACACTGGTATGGTTTGGTCAGTCTCGTTCTCACCAGATGGTACTCGCATCGCGTCTGGTTCGGAGGATAAGACCGTGCGGCTGTGGAATGCAGCGACGGGACAGCCATTGGGTGAGCCCTTGAAGGGGCATACTGCCTGGGTTTTCTCAGTCTCGTTCTCACCGGATGGTACTCGCATCGCATCTGGTTCAATGGATAACACCGTGCGGCTGTGGAATGCAGCGACAGGACAGCCATTGGGTGAGCCCTTAGAGGGGCACGCTGGCTGGGTTTACTCAGTCTCGTTCTCGCCGGACGGTACTCGCATCGCATCTGGTTCGCAGGATAAGACCGTGCGGCTGTGGAATGCAGCGACGGGACAGCCACTGGGTGAGCCCTTGAAGGGGCACACTGACATTATTTTCTCAGTCCTCTTCTCGCCGGATGGTACTCGTATCGCGTCTGGTTCGCATGATAAGACCGTGCGGCTGTGGAATGCAGCGATGGGACAGCCATTGGGTGAGTCCCTAAAGGGGCACACCGGCTACGTTTTGTCAGTCTCGTTCTCACCAGATGGTACTAGCATCGCGTCTGGTTCGGAGGATAAAACCATGCGGCTTATGAAAGTGCTGCCATTCCCCGAGTCCACTGAGACGAATCCCTCTGCATCTCTACTGCATCGAAGTACCGCATCTCCCACTCAAGCGAGTCCTATCACGCCAAGCAACACTTGCAACCATTCCCCCATTTCCTTCTCGCCCTGCCTGACACACGCCCTCCCCAACCCCGCTGACTTGCTCGAGCCCCCCTCTGATCACCATTCTAATTCAACCCCTTTCTTTCTGCAGCCTGATGGATGGATCATGGGACCCAATCATGAGCTCCTTTTCTGGGTACCTCCCGCTTCCCGACACGCGTTTTATACTCCTTGGACGTCATTAGTGATCCCGAGAGGAGGCGTTGAGCTTGATTTGAGCTGCATGGCACATGGGACGCGCTGGTCGAGTTGCCGAAACGCGTGAGTTTTTAATCTTTACCATTTGTCCTCGCAGTTGCTAACATCAATTCCTCCAGCTCCACGTAATGAGGATTTTATTGCTGCAATACCGAGTGTACCATTTAATTCTATGATTCCCTTCCTATGTATATTTCGCACCGATCCTGAATTTATGGCTGTTGCTGCTGATTCGTGGCAAAACTAATTTAATCAAAGATGTCCTTAGACATCATACTGATGTGTCATAGGTGCTTCGGTATTCACCGTCAGCCTCGAAGTGTATGTGATGAAGTGGCTGCAACACCGCATGTACAGAGACATGAGGATGTGCTGATCGACTCATTCTACCCACAGTGACCAACTTGGAGGGCGTTTCAGATGTTCTCACCAGAGCTATTTTTGACGTGGATGAAGCAATAAAACGGGACTTCCTCGAAATATTCCCTGAAGACGTCGACGAAATCGCTACGATGTCAAAGCGCGGGTCAACGACCAGTCTTCCGGAGGACTCAATTATCAGAAAGCCCCAGTTTTCTTGAGGGGATCTACAATCTTATTGATGCTCGTGGACCCTACAAAGAAACATCTTTGGGTGCTCAATCTCGGTGATGGCTTAGTGGGTAAGCCGAGGTGAAGGTTCAAGCGGAAATCATTGACATCGACCTTGGAGCAGTGCTCGGAAGTACATAGACGAGACGCCAGTTCACAATGGAATGCATCCATCTTGAGCCATAATCACAATGGCAACAACCCTGCTGAGGCCGATCGCATCAAACAGCAACACCCTGGCGAACCAGAATGCGTTTTCGACGATAGGGTGCTCGGCAATCTTGCTGTCACGAGAGGTAAGTCTATCGAATGTATTAGATCAGTCGATCTCACTGTGATGCGGCGTCAAGCTGTTGGCGACCACAGCTTCAAACTGCCTCGCATCTACGCTGAGAAAATATTTTTGAATGTAGAACTGGGATTTCGTGTCTCTGCTGCGATTGAGTCTTTCATTCCACGAAACCTGAGCCCACCGTCCGTTATGTCGACCTTCATGAGCAGTCAAGTTGCGATCGCGACTACTTTATCTTGATGTGTTCCGACGGGTTGGTTGACCTTTACATGGATGACCCAGATCACGTCGAATCCCTTGCATCTCTCGTCCAGAAGTGGGTGGGAATAGTAGGTGACGTCGTGAAAGACGACATCCAGGAGGCAATGCTGCGCTTGTTGAGATACGCTCTGGGCGCAGAAGACATCGACAGTCTCATGCATGCTTAACGTAGACATGCCTGTCCCTTACATGGATGATACGACTGTCATCTTACAAGTGCTGTAGTATCTGATACCAAGGTGTGTGCATGTATGGGGTAACGCGGATTGTACAGATGCCAAGTGCCAAGTGCCAGAGATGCTGCGTTTGTAAATCATAGATAAAAGTCAGGAAAACATCGAGCCTTGCATCATCGCAAGTCCAAGATCTCCAGCGGGATGTCTTTCATTTGCACGTGCCCCTTGTCTGCGTCCTAAACAACCGATCAATAGCTGTGGACGAACCACTCCAGAAGCTACGCACTGTGTAGATCGGCACCTCTGGGTGCAGGTGGAAGGCTTCCTTAACATTGCAGTCCAAATTTGTTTGCAAGCCTGGGGGGTCGGTGAGGCGGAAAATTCCAAAGCTAAACGTGAAAAGAATCAAGACATGAGTGGTATGAGCAATGTGGTACGCACTTGGGAGTGAACTTTGGGGCGCAAACAACGGCAAAGGACTCCGGAAGCATACGCTGAAATCCAGAATGTGTATGTAGATCAACCGACGACATAAAGCCTTCGTAAAGAACCAGTAAGTAAGAGGTTCTGTGCTAAATTGAAGGATCCACAAGATTGTGAAGGATGCGTGTGAATCTAACGAAGATCGTTAGACGCAGATACACAGGACGACCAGAGAAAACATGCTCATCCCAAGGTGATCAAAGATCGTTCTTCTGTGAATTGCAAGACAAGCTCTTCCTCGTCCATAGTGCAAGTATCGCTTGTCGAGTGCTGCCTTTGAATCAAGAGCGTCGTGACAGTAAATTTATTTCCTTTGTCTTGTCCAAGCAACAGTCGAAAAGTTTCACGATTTCGCGCCATATTCAGCGATGGGATAGACAGGAACCGCGGAAGACATTCTCGTGGCAAGCTCACAGTCTTCAGGTCGGGTATTTGGACAGGATCGCTGGGTTTACGAGTAATCCGTGCAGACTCTTGGGAAGCAGTCCGGTGCCGGTCACCATCGATATGACGTACGGGAGCGGGTGGGGGTGGAGGAACGGCCTGACGAGCTCGCGAAAGGGTAGAATATGGGGTTGCAGAATCAAAGTAGACATCAGAAGTCGACCGCGTCGTGTTCTGAGAGTATGGGTATGACACCGGCTGACTCGGCAAAGCAACCACAGATGATCAGGAAGTTGATTGGTAGACAATTGAGAGGATTCCGGTACGAAAAGTAGGGAAGATTGTACGAGATTGGTGGGCTTGAGAGTGAGGTAATTGAAAATTGGTTGCAGAGAAGGCGCGTAGCCTAGCTTGAGCTGGTGTTGCGACATGAGTTCTGGGTATTGAATATGTCCATCCGGTGGAACAGGCGATGTTGTGGTTACTGGTGCAGGATAAGACGGGCTGAAGGGACAATGAGATACGCCCAATATAGACGAGGAGATACTCACGGCTTCAAGCTTGTTGGAGTTGTAGCGCGGTTTCTATATGGCCAAGTCTATAGATGTATAGATTCGAGGACGCTGACCTTGTTGGGCTCTCGATAGGCATAAGAAGGGGAGCAACAGCCATTGCTTGAGACCTTTCGAAGGATCCCAAAGGTTGGAAAGAGCACGTTCTGAGAGCTCCGCAATTGTTGAAGGTCTCCTACTAGATGGGCTTGGTCGCGGAGAGGGTCGGGGCACATTTGCATAAGGCGAATTCATGATGGAACGAAAGCAAGAGCATCTAACCACCGCTCGCAACGTCCTAATATTTCGTACTTACCGTATTTGGGATGAAATGCCTCCGTGTGGCTGTTCTGGTCCAACGGTTGAGATTGGGCTTTTGGAACTTGGATGGACAATTGGCCAAGTACTCGTACGACAAGATCAGCTTCTTGCGCAGCACGCCCCTTGGCGCCGAATTCGATCTAACAATAGCCAACATCCTATTGTCAGCGCTTTAGCGACGAACAAACAGTTCTGGTGAACACAACAAACTCTAATACCCAAATTTACAATCCAGGCACAAGGGAACGCGTCACATCTTTGACAGGTCAAGAATCACTCGCGTGGACGCTCGATGGCACAAGCCTTCCTCTATCGATTCTACGATACTTACTCTATTCTAGATGATTTGGGTGAGTGACTATTATCTCCCGTGGAGGACTCCACAGATATTCCAACACGACCGAGAAAAATGATTACAAACCGTCCGAGAAGACGCCCATGAGGTTATGCACCAGACAGATTAAAGACAAGTGTGTTGAGAACGATATAGAACACGAGGTATGTCGTCGTCATGTCGATATGATCTCATTGTGTGTATCGTAGCTATCCATTCTCATCGAGCCTATTGCTGGCAAAGTCACCAAAACTCTCGAGCATTTGATTTCTCGGTACCTTCCAGATTCAATCGTAATGGGCACGAGAGGCCAGCGCAGCATGATGCAAGAGTAAGTCAACGAACCACTTCCGACGTCGTCCCGATTACTCACAAGAACCAGGGCAATTTGATATACCTCGCTCTCATAACAGAACGTATGCCCATAATCTCAAAGTTCCTCTCTAACCATATCGACCCAAGCACACCTCCATTTGTTTTCGGGGAAGTATTTGACGTCCCTCGACTCAGTCAAGCCATAGGGATCCACTTGCTACTTTAATGGCACAAAGTCGAGGATCCAGAAAGTCAGGTTCTCGATGATCTTGGTTGTTGGACTATCTGGGAAACCGTTCAACAGCACATCGAGATTCCTGAACCACGACGAAGTCCTCTTATGAACATGCTCAAGCACGGTGAGACAAATTCGAGCACCCCTCTTCGATGATTAAATCTATGGCTATCACAGACGTTTCGTGGATGCGAACTCCAGCTTGGGTCGATCTGACACCCCCTAGCGTATATCACAATCATGCATCCTTTTGGTCTCTCGCCTCACTTGGGTTTGCAGAAACTCGTTCGAAAAGCCTGGGATTATCATTAACGAATCGTCATTCTCCTCAGCACCAGGTTTCCCTTCCTCCGGACGATCACATATATTTCTTTTACTACATAAGCGCTCATCATACATGGGACTGTATTCTCCTGCGTGAAGATTCGTAGGCCAACACATGCGATGGACTGCAAGCATGGAAAATATTGTCGATGCGCATGCCCGACGCGCCATGAATGAACCAACACCTCCTGTGAGTGAAAGTTTCGGGCTCTACAGATCTAATTTTTGATATTATATATTGATCCACATACGGCACGGCGACTTCAGCCAGCAATGCGAGGAGTTTTCTGTGGATCAGTGCTTCGCCCCGTTGTCTGTCATTGCGCGCAGGTTGTCTGAGGTGCAAGAAGAGCTTCGGACACAAAAAGGGATTGAGGCCACGCATGTTATCATGACGAGCGACGAAATGGACCCGGAATGGTGGTCAGATGTTGGGGCGTTGGGGTGGACGTGGGTAGATTATGCAGCGGAACGGACAGAGGATATCTATGGAAAATGGTGAGCCGATTAGATGTCATGTTTTTATTCTAACTTAAGTTGTGGCTGCTACCCGGCATCCGGTGTTCATCCATGCTATTATTCAGTCGAATGGAGCTGGCTTTATTGGCACTCGTGGTTCCACGATGTCCACACTAGCTGGCCCCAGAGTACAGTCGTGACATGAGAGAGCGACTCGGCTCGTTAGATGGGGGTGGCCGGGCGCGGCTGATCGGAATGCCAGAATCGAGACTACTTTGCGCTTCACAACCATTCGTTACAATGTTCTTGTATTTTTTTATTTATGATGCGCATGATGGCCGTTCTCCAGCTCGAATTCACTGCATGCGAAAGCAAGCTTAATCTTCTTGGTGCACAGTACTGGAAACGTTCCCTTCCTGACGGGGATCAACAATCAAGACGCACCAAGACATGCAGATACTTTATACTGGTCTACAGCGAGCCGCAAGGTGAGCGGTCATGAGACATAAGACTTGAGCTTGAAAGTTTCCTGGAGAGGTGTGATACTCGCTTGATGTCTCGGTAGGGCTTGAAACTGTGAAGACAAATGTCGGACGCATGCAGCCAGTGGAGTCGGCTATGACTGGGTGGGAGCAGACGATGATGGCGAACTGCCTCGTGTCTTGGGCGTGTATGGAAGCGAGGATGGTTAGCGTGGTGAAGCAACATAAAAACGCACAATACACGCACTTCTGTAACTTAGAGAAAGACACCCACAATCCCTCGGCCGTGCTCAACACCATCAACCTCCAGTAAAATGTCACAGCTCATTCCAAGCACCACACCCATTCGAACTTTTGGAGATCATGAGGACGCCGTGAAGGCAGTCGCAGTGTTCCCCGATAAACGACGAATGATTACGGGTTCGGACGACAAGACACTTCGTCTTTGGGACTTGGAGACAGGTGTTGTGTTGAAGAAGTTGGAAGGGCATGGCAGTTCGGTGTATGCATTGGCGGTGTCACGAAATGGTCAAATAATAGCAAGCGGTGATTATGGTGGAGAAGTCATCGCCTGGCACGGAGAAACTGGCGAATTCAAATATTCATCACCCAACCCATCAAAGCCCACTCCGGTCGGATCCGCTCGGTTGATTTTTCTCTGGATGGAATGGTGCTGGCCACTGGTTCAAATGACGAGACGGTCAAGTGTTGGAGTACCAAAACGTGGCAGATGCAAGGAGATCCAATCGAGTGTGGCAGTTTCGTCTTCTGCGTTCTATATTCACCTTCTGGTGAACTTCTTGCCATCGCAACATTCTCCAATATCCAAATTTATAATCCAGGCACAAGGGAACAAGTCGCATCTTTGACAAGTTGGAGCCTGTCACTCGCGTGGACGCCGGATGGTACACGCCTTCTTTCAGGAGGCAGTAATTCCATTGAGGAGTGGGACACATCAACCTGGCAGCAGGTCGGTCATGCCTACAAAGGCCACACTGACACTATCAACGCCATTGCCATTCATCCTGCTGGCACCCTCGTCGCTTCTGCATCTTATGACACGCATGTCCGTCTCTGGCGGCTCTCAGATCAACGAACCATCGCCGTCTTCCAGCATTCATCTCCCGTGACATGTGTCACGTTCTCTGTGGACGGCAAGTACATCCTCAGTGGAGGTCAAGACAGGCAGATTTCAGAATGGGCAATACCAAAGGACGCTCATTCAAAGGCGAGTTTTCATTTCTGACTCTCATTAGTACGCAATTCGAGCATCCTTCATACAGATCCTTGATATCACAACAGCCCGCGATGCATGTCTAACTGGGGACTTGTCTATCGCTGAAGAGCTCCTCACCCAAGATGTCGACACCAACGTTGACGACTGTGTTTCATATGCCAATCGTTCATTCGTCATGGCCCGGAAGCATGACTTGGACAACGCACTTGAAGATGCAATCAAGGTGAGATGTCATTGTCCTCTGACGAAAGGCTAACTTCCATCCATAACGTAGTCCATCAACATTCGGCCATCATTGGTAGGCTTCATCTCTAAAGGCATCGCCCTCTGCGGAAAAGGTCACGTCCGCGAAGCAAGGATAGCATTCGACGTCGCGTCCATGTTCACCAACCATAATTCAGAAACCAACCAATTTCTTCTCTTGATCAAGGTACATTCAATTCTTCTCCCATGCTCTCTGCCTCATCTTGTATTCCAGGCCATCGCACTCTTCAGCGCAGATCAACGCGAGGAAGCAATGCTGCTTATCAAAGACCTGGCTGCCGCTTGTCCTGATGTCGATCCTCTCGCGCGTCGTGTTGTGGAAGTAAGTATCATGTGGCCACACTCGATCATCAATCCTGATCTTTTCAACTCGCACAATAGACGCATCTACGTGTTCAGCTCAGAATCAAAGCTTTTGATGACGCGCGCCCCGACGAAGCCGCTGATCACTTCACCACCGCTGTCAACTCGGGCGCTTTCTCATCAGAATTCATGCCTCAAACGTACGAGGACTTGACTGTGGTGTGTCAAGATGATGCATACATAATACTTTCCATAACCTAGTACTTTGTCCAGCTCTTCGGCTGGGATCTCAAGTCCTTGTTGCTAACTACACACCAGAAACGGTGCCAGGCATTCCTTTCGGCAGGTAAACCCGACGAAGCCCTCGAAGCACACAAATACATGATGGACGCCATCGACGACATCGCGAAGGCCAGCTGTCTCGATTGGTCCAACGGCAAGTCTTCCGTCATGTCACCCACGACTATCATGCTCACCCGCATGTCACTCAGAGTTCAAGGAGAAATGCAGCACGCTCGCTGCGGACAACGACCGTATTCTTGGCGTATGCACCTCTTTCCTTACCTCTTTTCGATACTGACTATTATGCAGGCAGAGATCCCCGGCCAAGATCACGATGGCTATGATGCAGATCCCAATTTCTTCTACAGAACGCATCAAGTGCGTGCAAGAGCTCATCCTTGTATTCTCTCGCTCATAATTCATCACAGCATTCTCAGATTTCCAGACCAAGACTTCAAGAACGCCCTGGGCGCCTCAAAAGATTCAGGCTCGCTATGACGAGGAGGCCTCAGGAAGCTCCTGCTCCTGTTCCTGTTCCTGCTCCTGCACCACCCACTACCTCACCACCAGTCGCTGTCACCACCACCGTCAAAACTCATTTACGACACATATTCTCCCGGTCACCCCATCATGCAACGCCGCCCGTTGTCGATGTTCCGTTCGCGAAGGCTAAAGAGGTGGGTCAGGTCGATTCTTACCAACGTATTCTGGTTGTCTGATGCGTAGATCTACAGCGTAATGCTGCTGCAGGTGCTCCTGGCCCAGACCCGGACATCGTACCTGATGAATATCTCGATACTACCGAACCGGACCCTGACACGCAACAGCAGCGACAACAACATCAGCAACCACATCAGCAAGCAGTAGCAGTCCATATAGACCCTGGGGAACATGGAGGCGGAAAGTCCTGTGTCTGCTGCTAGCGGGTTTTCGAATGTCTCGAATACTTCAGTCATATCGTCGATCTTATTATGATATCTTTATTGACTTGAAGCAGTATTTTATTGATAGGTGATTGACTGATCAGTACATCCTTTAGATTATTTGGAGAGTTTTTCCTCCGTAATAAATCGTGAACCTCCCATCCTCCATCTGTAAAGCTTGACTTGCGCATAAGTTGCTGAATGTGAGATATCGTGCGCTTGTACAACCAGAGCCATTCCGCATTCAAACATATCTTATTGACTGCACAGTAGCAGCCGACTTCTCAACGTGTGGCTGAAATCGATTTTCCATGAAGCTCTTGGTTGGATCTCAGTGACAGTCAGTACTTGACGTGATGATGGCGCCAAACGTCAGTCGCCGACTTCTTGACAGACAACGCAGGACTAAAATCGTAAAAAATCTGCAAGGTAGGTAAGGAAAGTGATAACCACTATGATAAAACGACTTCCATCTCATGAACCAGGCGCCATTCTATCCATAGGAATGAACTACAACGTGCGTAATGAATGCGTAAAAGTACTTCGCTACCCCTGCATGTCTTTCTCGATCCCGAAACTCTTTTCTCGGAATTCTTGCGATTTGTCCCGTTGCTTGATCATACGACTCAGCTCGTCGTACAGGCCCTGCACATCGGATATTGCAGCATCAACTTTGGCCCGAGCTATACCATCATCCACCGCGACAAGGATCGCTTGTTTCTTCTGCCATTTGATCAACGCTTGATGCACCTTTGAAGCGAGTTCTGTGAACCACTTCGTCGGAACACGGTTATACGAGGCTGCCAAATTCAGCCTCGTCGCTGTCACGAAGGCTGGTATTCCATCGACGTAGTCGTCTTCTTCTTTGAGATATTGCGCGTTGTCCCACGCGTTTGTGATGAGCACCCGCCATTTGTCCTTGATAGGACTGAAAGGAACTTCCTTGCCCGATGACTTCATGCGCCCGAAGATCACGAGAAGGTAGAATCCGACTTCCGAAAAACGCTCATGAGAGACAGCGTCAACTAGAGGAATGCACCGGTCGAGATGACCATTACGGGTCAGACGTTGATACCACTCGTTGTTCTTTGTGAGGACATAGAGGAGGTGGAGGTAGTGGTCGAGTGCTGCGTCGTGGATTGTCTTGTGGTCATTTGGATGCACAGCAGTTGAAAGAGCCTGGGAAAGCTCGCTCAGGAGTTGTGCGTCGACACCTTTCGATGCCGAGGCACTTGTCAGAGAAGCTAATTCTTCTCGAGCTTCAAAAACAGCTCTAAGCGCGGTATGACGGACTCGGGGAGGTCTGGTGGGCCCCATGCAGTGGATAAGCGACCTGATATAGGACTGTTGCTTGGTAGAGCTCCCTAGTCCACGCATGGCGCTCAGTGCAAGCAAAGCATCGCCTTCTGTTTCACTATCTTTGACATGGCCTGCATCACCCTCTGTTTCATCGTCCATGTCGTGCTCTGCGTCATCCGCCAGGTAATCCACAAGCCAATCAAATTCTTCACAGCTAGGCTCCCTGTCGTCGCTGTGACGCCAACGCAGATCACCATTCCAAATCAAGTGTTCATCGTCCGGACGTGAAAATTGTTCGTCCACTCCATGGACAACCAGTGTTCTGAGAGCAGTGCGTGTATCGGCACGATGCTTCATTTCATCGTCTTCTTTCTCCGAATCCTTGAGTTTATCGTAGGCAGCCCGTCCAGCCATAAACGCATCGCGAATGAAGTGACTTCGCATTCCCTGAAATTCATCATTCCAATGGAACTTCAGAAAATGCTCCTTGATTTTCACCGACTGGACGCAAAGATGGGCCATGGCTTTGCCAAACTTTATATATAGTTCCTTGTCCTGACACGCCACGAAATGGTCATGCAAACGTGCGAAGGTTGCTGAAGCATCATGCTTCCGGGGCCATTGCACGGAAGGTAAGATGGCAGCCGCGGTCTCGATAATGTCCGGGTTTGTTGATATCTCTAGTATCCATCGGATGGCGGACGATTTGCCGAATAAGTTAAAAGTGAATGGAGTTTTGTCGGGACGGAATTTTCGGTAGATGGTAACCAATAGCTCCGAGGTTGGCGTCTGGAAAGGACTGTCCGGACGCAAGACCGATACGAGGACAGTGCCGACATAGAACAGAATACCGAAAGCTGTAACGCAGATAATGATGCTGGATATTGTGGTTTGCAGGACCCATATGCGGGCGCTTAGCGAGAGGCCGAAGAGCAGGAGCGAAATCTGGAGCAGCACTAGGAACATCCGTAAAAAGACCTGCAGGCGAAAATACTCTACTCCGTCTAGCTTCACCTGCCTCTCTATGCCGCGCTCTTCAATAGTTCGTCCTTCTCGAACTACCTTGTAAGAGTTTAGCCATTGTTTTCCCAAGACAGCTCCGAACGCAGCCAAGACGCTAAATGCGAGGCTAGCGTAGGAAAGCGATTGCATCCAGACCGTCGAAGGGACAAATCCCGTAGATGAGGAAAGAGTGCTGATGTCAGGTACGGAATTTGAGCCGTCAACAGTTACCTTGATGAGATACAGGAGAAGGGCATTGGTAGTGTCTCCTGGATTAGGCTGCGACCCGACGAGGAAGGTAGAGTTGACAGCTGAGAATAGACCAGCCTAATACTCCAATGAGACTTGCATCGAGAGACGTAGAAAGAAACGCACAAAAGTCAGAATAATGCCCATGTCGTCATCGGCCTGCTCGAGGAAATCGTTGTCGTACTCAGTCGAAACTCTCTTGTATGTCGCCCAAAACTTTGAGTTGTCATCCTTTCCACGTTCTTTTGCGATCGTTGATCCTTTAAGGACTTCGAGAACGTGCTCCAGCGTGTCTGACCTTTGAGAAAATAGTGAGACGTCAAGCGTAGCGTGGTGATGCGTTGACATTCACATCTTATTAAGGCTTCCTTCGATGGACACCGCAGGATTCTCCTTCGTGTCGTTTGGCTTGATACTATTGTCCGGGGTCTGCTCCAGGGTGTTTGACCTTTAAAACAATATAGTTAGGCGTCACCTTGGCCGCGCTGGTTGGTCAATATTTACACATTCTTAGCCGGGCCTCCGCGCTCCTCGTTCGCATTGTTCGGCTTGAGTTCAGTCTGGATCTCCTCTAGGGTGCTTGACCTTTGAGACAATAGAGTCAGACGTCAATTATACCACACTGATTGATTGACATTCACATATTTGCAACAAGGTCAGCCTCGATCGCATTCCTGTGTGTGCATGAGTATCATGGACAACTGAGTCTAGCTTGCTACTTACTCATTAGTCTGTGGGTCGGCACCGACAGGTGGGGGACTGGGTCGTGGTGATGCGCTTGCCATGTTTGAGCTAGGGTAACATAGAAAAGTAGGAGGGGGGAAATGGTGGAAATATATAGTCGGGGCTCTGCACTGCATCTAGATAGCATGTTCTTATCAGACGCCAAAGCCTTGTGACCGGTTGAGCCGGTACACAAAGTGTCACTGAATCAAGCCCCTGAGACATACGTTTGAATTCTACCGCGGGGCTCATTTTGAGGAACCAGCTTACCACATGCTAGCTAGAGAGAGCGCTGAAGTTTTAGATCAGCGACTGAAGGAAATGAGGGAAAAAATTGTAACCGGCAGTATGTGACTCCGACTTCCGTAGCCACTGCTAGCGTCAATTTTGACAATGAAGCATGATCTTAATAACGCCTGTATATATGGTTGATGGCCCTGGCATAGTGGGTAATCGTTGAGGCAGAACCATCTGTGCTATCCCGGTCTCCCGAAGTATGAGAATGAACGCGCGGTTCTCCATCAATATACAGGCCAATGTTAGTATGGAAAATGACGGTTAGGTACGTACACAAGGAGGGAGGTAGAAAGATTCTTCAGAAACGCACGGACGATGCTTCGCTATCGAAATAATTTTCGATAATATAATCTACAGAGGTTCAGAGCTGTGATCAGATTCGAGGGTTCGATTCACCCCCGCCGTTTGAGGTAGCTCGGATGCGTGTAGTATGAAGCCTCGCGGTGGTTCATAGTCACGAACTCAATGAGTTTCGCAACGTTTGCATTTACAATCTGCTGCTTGTCTGTGCAAAACATCCTCGCACGACGACACACTGTGACGATGCTGACTACGTTTGTATCGTGTCACCACTGTGACTCATCCAGATTGTTGTCGAGATCGAGGGCGGCTTAGTTGGTGGTGCACTGTGCCAATGCGGCACTCTCCGAACGTCTCTGGCACTGTCGGATTTACACTGGGCCCGAGTTATGCATGGCCTCAGGTACTCAGGTTGCAGCGTATTACTTCTTGAACCGAATAAGGCGTCCACGGCAGGAGGAATCAATGACCATCTATGGGAAACCGATTCCCGGTGAAAATCTGTGCGAGAAACATCCGGAAGTGTTGCCTGTTCTACTAGTAGGTGCGAGGTGGGCCGACTCGTGACCAGGAGAGAGTTGAACGTTGAAGCTTAGTAAGCCTTGAAGGTGGTATGTACTAAAACACCCTCGGCATTCACCGAGGACATCCATCCTGCCACTTGTCATGCACTGCCCATGAAAGCGCCCTCGCACGATCTCGACAACAAATTTAGACGAATACACGGACAGGTCTGCAAATACGCAGTAGATGGCCAATGCAAAAGTTGCTAATCCATGCAATTGGGAAACGAGTGCGAAGAGTATAGAATTCACGTGAAGTTTGCGCGAAGTGTATGCGTTTGCACGCGCGCTACGCCCACAAGTTTAAAAATGCTCATCATTTGTTGTTATCAACTAGATCTACACGATCTGGCGCTTTCCATGACACTCTCACACGTTCTGACATACCCCTACATCAACGTCGCAATTGCTACGCATAGGTCATGTCTCGATTGACATGCTTCGGTCAATGATACATCCCGGCGCCGGATGATCTAGATCTGAGGTCCCACATGATATCAAGTTCTGCAGGTCTCTTCTAGTAAAAATACTATGTGCCTGTCAAATTATTTCTGTATTATGTGATGATAATCTTTGAACGTTAGCAGGATGTACATCTATGATACGCTCTCCACTCAGGAAATCGTCCCAGCCTCGCTCTCCTCCTAGCATCTTCCATGCTTTCGTCATCACCATCGTCCTCTCTTCCTCCGATGCTCTCCCTCCGGTCTTAGCTCTATGTCACTAATCCTCATTCTAGTGTTCTCCGTCGGTGAAAATACAACAGTCTGGGGGCACGGCTCAATCTGTCATCAGACAAGGTTTCACGTTCAGAGTCTGTATTGTCTAGACTCAATAGTAGTTGGTACGAGAGGCCAGCGTGGCATGATGCAAGCGTTGAGTGCGCCAGGTGTGGGCAGTATATGAAAGTATTGTCTTTCGATTTACCCCTTGCTCATTGTCGTCTTTTGCCCAGAGAGAATTCAGGTCGAAAAAGTACTCGTCAAGTGACAAGCCGATCCAAAGAGAGGCAGCCATTTTGACATGCAGGTTTTTATATGCTGTCGCAATGCACCTGCTCATACGCTTCCTCGAATTGCAGGCTTACGAGGGCGAAGACGCACAATATACAGAGTCTTCCAATGTCTACGTGTCACATGATAAATTTCATTTCATCTGTTTTTTCTGCAACGGTTGTACATATTCACTCTGTACTCAACCTGTGATTTTAACACTTGAACGGAAATCTGACTACTATTGACTGTGTGGTTCAAATCGATTTGCTATGGATAAATGCTTCGTTGGATCTAAGTGACACTCAGCACTTAACACGACTGTGGTGCTCAAACGTTAGTCGCCTACTTCTTGATAGACAAGACAGAACTACGATTACAATGAATACAAGATAAGTAAAAAAATGGCCTTTCTGTGAGTAAATCTCATCTATCTCATGGACCCACTAATCTAACCACGGGAATGTGGGTGACAAATGCGAAACAGTAAGTACGTCACTACGATGTTATCTGTCAGTCCAAAGGTCCACCTTCCCTTTACAGGGCCTTCTGGTCCTCGGTCATACGACATAAATCGTCGTACAAGCCCTGCATAGAGGATAACGCAGCGTCCATGGTAGCCTGAGCTACACCATCATCCGCAAGGATCGCTTGTCTCTCCGAATCCCTCAAATCGACCAAAGTCATACGAACATCTGCAGCGAGACCTTTGAACCACTCCTTCGGAACACAATCATCCGAGACTGTCAAATTCAGCCTCGTCGCTGTCACGAAGGCTGGTATTTCATCGACATAGCCATCTTCCCCTACAAGATATTTTGCCGAGTTCCATGGGTTCTTGAGGAGTAGCCGCCATCTTTCCTCGGCAGGACTGAAAGGAAAATCCTTGCCCAAGGACGCAATGCGCCCAAAGATCACTAGAAGGCAGAATCCGACATCCGTATGGCCCTTTTGAGACACTCCGTCAACTAGGGAAATACACCGTTCGAGATGGCCATCACGGGTCAGACGTCGACACCACTCGTCGTTCTTTGTCAAAGCGTAGATGAGGCGGATGTAGCAATAGTCTCGATTTTCGTGGGAAGAGCCGTCGGGTCCAGTGTCGTAGGTTGTCTGGTCGTCCTTTGGACGCACAGCAGTTAAAATAGCAGTCAGGAGTTGTGCGTCGGCACCTAGACGCACGGCAGCTAGAAGAGCCTTGGAAAGCTCATCCAGGAGTTGTCCGTCAACACCCTGTGGCATTGAGGCATCGGTTATAAAAGCTAGTGCTTCTCGAGCTTCAAAAACAGCTCTAAGCGCGGCGTGTCGGACACGGGGGGATGTGGTGGAGTGCAAACAACGGATAAGGGAGCTGATGTAGGACTGTTGCTTGGTAGAGCTCCCTAATCCCTGCATGGCGCTCAGCGCAAGCAAAGCGTCGCCTTCTGTTTCATCGTCTGTGTTTGTGTCGCTCGCCAGGTAATCAACGAGCCAATCAAACTCTTCGTAGCTATTTTCATCCCCATCGCCGTGATACCAGCACAGATCACCGGACCAAATCAACTCTTCATCATCAGGACGTGAAAGCCCCAAGGATTGTCCATGGACAAGCATCGTCCTGAGAGCGGTGCGTGTATCGGCCCGATACTTCAGTATATCGTTTGGTAAGAGTGAATTCTTCGACTGATAGTAGGCACCCTGTCCAGCAATGAATGCATCACGGATGAAACGACTTCGGGTTGACTTGAATTTATTATCATCCCAACGAAACAACAAATGTTTCTTCTTGATTTTCACCGACTGGATGCAAAGATGGGCCATGGCCTTGCCATACTTTACATATAGCTCGTCCCTGTCACGACACGCCACGAAACTCTCACGTAAACGGACGAAGGCTGCTGAAGCGTCAAGGTTCGGCGACCACGGCACGGAAGGTACCATTGCAGCCGCAGCCTCGACAATGGATGGGTCTGTCGACGTCTCTAGTATCCAGCGTATGGCTGACGATATGGCGAACGTAGAAGGATATAAATGTCTTTTTGGTAGAATTTTCTTGCAGAGCGCCCGAATCATATCTGTCCCCGGTGTCTGAAAAGGACTATTGGGCCACCACACTGACACGAGGATGGTGCCTGCATAGGAAAGAGCGATAAGAGTTGCACTGGTTGCCATGAATCCGAATGTTGGCACGGAGTCTGCCCACGTCTTGAGGCATAGTGAGATGCTGAAGAGCACAAGTGCAATCTGGAGGAGCACAAGGAATACCTGCAACAAAGGGCGCAGCTGGAAACGAACCAGCCCGTCTAGTTTCATCTGCCTCCGCATCCCACTCTCTTCTGAAGTTCCTCCCTTTTCCCGAGCTGCCTCGTATGAATTGAGACATTGCTTTCCCAAAACACCTCCAAATGCAGCGATGACACTGAGCGCTAGACTCATATAGGCAAGAGTTTGTATCCAGACAGTTGAAGAGGAATATCCCGTAGACGATGAAAGATTGCTTATATCACGTGAGGCACTTGACCCGTTAATAGTGATTTCTATGAGCTGCACCAAGAGGGCATTGGTAGTGTCTGTCGGGTCGGGCTGCATTCCGATGACGAAAGTGGCGATGACGGTCGAGAGTAGACCAGCCTGATTCATCCATGAGATTTGCGTCAATAAATATAGAAACGAACACACAAAAGTCAGGATAACGGTTATATCGTTGTGCGCCCGGTTGAGGAAGTCATCATCGTACTCATTCGAAATCTTCTTATATTTCGCCCAGAACTTTGACTTGGCATCTTTTCCGTGCTCTCCTGCAATAGTAGATTCTCGAAGGACTTCGAGAATCTGCCCCAGCGTGTCTGACCTGTGACAAGATATAGTTAGATGTCAAGTGAACCGTGCTGATGAATTGACATTCACATATTCATAGCAAGGCTTCCTTCAATGAACACCGCAGGATTCTCCGTCGCGCTATTCGGTCCGGCCCCATTGTTCAGTGTCTTCATGGTGTATGACCTTTAAGACAATATAGTTAGACATCAAATGTACCGTGCTTATTGGTTGATGATTACATATCCTCGACTAGGCTTCCACGGTCCTCGTTCACATTATTCGGTCTGAGTTCATCCCGGATCTGCTCTAGGGTACTTGCCCTTTCAGACAATAGAGTCAGACGTCAATTATACCATGCTGATTGGTTGAAATTTACATATTCGTAACAAGGTCAGCCTCGATCGTATTCCTGTGTGTTCATGGGTGTTATGGACAACTGAGTCTAGCTTGCTACTTACTCGTTGGTCAGAAGGTCGGTAGCGACAGGTATGGGACTGGGCCGTGATGATGCGCTTGCCATAATTTGGGCTGGGGAGACACAGAAAAAAGTAGGGAGGAAGAAGTGTTGGAAATATATAGCTGGGGCTCTGCACGGTATCCGAAAAGTACATTCTTATCGGACGCCAAGGTGTAGTTGGTTGCGCCGGCGCCCAAGGTGACACAGAATCAAGTCCCTGAGATAGGCGTTTGAAATTTGCCGAGACGCTCATCCTGAGGAGTCAGCTTACCACACCATTCTAGATTCCCAATGGCGCGCAGAAGCACTCGATTAGTGAATGGATGGAGAAATGATAACCGGAGGTATATGACTCAGACCTACCTAGTCGCGGGGCTGGCGCCAATTTTGACACCGAAGCATGCTTTTATCTAGCGCCAAATCTTGTGGTGCCATATACGGCGGATGGTCCCGGGGAAGTGAGACGAGGTCCTACAGAAAAAGTATCTTGATGAGCGCGCGGTTCGCCATCAATGTACAAGTTAGTGCTAGTTACTACAGGGAAAGGTCAGGGACATACGCAAGGAGGAAAGTAGAGAGATAGTACATGCACGAAATGATTTTCGATAGCCACAAATACAATTTACAAATATTTGGAGCCGCAACCAGACTGGAGGGTTCGATCCATCCCCACCATTCGTCGCTGAGGTAGCGATGCGTGTAGCACGAGCCTCGGTGATTTATACTAGTTATGAATCCAATGAGTTGGAAGTGAGTCGCTGTTGCCATCTAGCGAGTCGTATTTTGGGCGTTGGGTATCGGTGGACTGGACTCGTAACCACTCTGCCTGTGGGCGTTTCTTGAGATGTTGAGATTGAAAATTTGTAGTCACGGTGATTTCGTGGGTTCAGACTTGGATTTCGCCCGGATGAAGGGGCTCATCAGAGGACTTAATACTACTTATTAGTAACATTGATGTAATGATGTCTTCCTTACCAAGTAGTAGGGCACTTCCTGCGGCACTCTCGTAAAATATATGTTGCAGTAAATGATCAATGTCCTTGAAAAACTACTAGTATGATACGTTATCATTATTAATCCGCCTATTTCCGAGTGGGCGGCCGGCCATGACTAATTGCCCGTAACGGATGCATGTCTTTCACGATCCCGAAGCCAAGTCCTTGTGATGTGTTCCGTTTCTTGACCATATGAGTCAGCTCGTCGTGCAGACCCTGCACATTGGGTATTGCGGTATCAACTCTGGCACGAGCTACACCACCCTTCACAAGGGTCGCTTGTTTCTCCTGCAATTTGACCCAAACCTCGTGCACCTTTACAGCGCAATCTGCGAACCACCCCTTTGGAACACTATTATACGAGGCTTTCAAATTCATCCTCGTTGCTGTCACGAGGGCTGATATTCCATCGATGACGAGGTCATCCTCCATGTTATATTGCACTGTGGACCATGCGTGTGCGATGAGTGACCGCCACCTCTCTTCGGCAGGACTGAAGGGAAGATCCTTATGTGACGACTTGATGTGCCCGATGATCACAAGAAGGCAGAATCCGGAATACCAGCCACGCTGTTGGTGACTGACTCTGTCCACTAGAGAAATACACCGGCGGAGATGACCGTCACGGATCAGACGTTGATACCACTCGTCGTTCTTTATCAGAGCACGGATGAGGTCGAGGTAGCAAGTGTCTCTATGTTCGTGGAAAGAGGCGTCGGGTCCAGTGTCATGGACATTGTTATTTGGACGTACAGCAGTCAAAAGAGCGCAAGAAAGCTTATCCAGGAGTTGTGCGTCGACACCCTCTGGCATCAAGGCACTTGTCATCGAAGCTAGTGCTTCTCGAGCTTCAAAAACAGCTCTAAGTGCGGTGTGCCGGACTCGGGGAGGTTCGGTGGGGCCCATACAGCGGATAAGCGAGCTGATATAGGACTGTTGCTTGGTAGGGCTCCCTAGTCCCTGCATGGCGCTCAGCGCAAGCAAAGCGTCGCCTTTTGTTTTATCGTCTTTTGCATCGCCCTCCAGGTAATCGACGAGCCAGTCAAATTCTTCTTCTTCACAGCTGGGTTCACCCCCTGCACTGACATACCAGCGCAGATTACCCCACCAAATCAAGGCTTCATCATCCGGACGTGAAAGTTGTTTGTCCATTCCATGGACAAGCATTGTTCTGAGAGCAGTGCGCGTATCGGCCTGATGCTTCTTTTCATCATCTTTTTTCTCTGGACTCTTGAGCCGTTCGTAGGCAGCCCGTCCAGCCATGAACGCATCGCGAATGAAACGACTTTGGGTTCCCTGAAATTTATTATTCCATCGAAATTCCAGGAGTTCCTTCTTTATTTTCACCGGCTGAATGTAAAGATGTGCTATGGCCTTGCCATACTTCAAATATAGCTCTGCCTTATCCTCGCATGCCATGAAGTTATGGCGCAAACGTGCGAAGGCTGCTGAAGCATCAAGGTTGGGACGCCATTGCATGCGAGGTATAATCGCAGCTGCAGTCTCGACAATGTCCGGGTTTGTTGATGTCTCTAGAATCCAGCGAATGGCAGATGATTTGGCGAATACGTCAGACTTGGGAGTGAATTTGAATTTGTGTGGAAGAATTTTTTGGAAGATGGGTGCCAATCCTTCCGAGGCTGGTGTCTGGAAAGGACTGTCCAGACGCAACACCGACAGGAGGAAAGTGCCGACATAAAATAGAATACCGAAAGCTGTAACGCAGATGATGACGCTGGATATCGTGGTTTGCAAGACCCAAATGTGGGCGCTTAGCGAGAGGCAGAAGAGCACGAGTGACATCTGGAGTAGTATCAGGAATGTCTGCAAAATGGTCTGCAGGCGGAAATATTCTATTCCGTCTAGCTTCATCTGCCTCTCTATGCCGCGCTCTTCAAGAGTCTCTCCCTCTCGAGCTACCTTGTAAGAGTTTAGCCACTGTTTGCCCAAGACAGCTCCAAATGCGGCCAAGACGCTGAATGTGAGGCTAGCGTAGGAAAGCGATTGGATCCAGACGGTCGAGGAGGGAAATACTGTAGATGACGAAAGAGTGTTGATATCAGGTACGGAATTCGGGCCATTGATAGTTAGCTGGATTAGATACAGGAGAAGGACATTGGTGGTGTCTCCTGGATTAGGCTGCATTCCGATGATGAAAGTAGAGTTGACGGCTGAGAACAGACCAGCCTAATACTCCTGTGAGACTAGCATCGAGAGAAGTAGACAGAAACGCACAAAGGTCAGAATAATGCCCATATCATCATTTGCCCGCTCGAGGAAGTCGTCATCGTACTCAGTCGAAACTTTCTTGTATGTCGCCCAAAACTTTGAATCATCATCTTTTCCGCGTTCTTCCGCGATATTTGATCCTTTAAGGACTTCGAGAATGTGCCCCAGCGTGTCTGACCTGTGACAAAATATAGTCAGACGTCAAGTGTACGGTGCTGGTGAGTGATATTCACATATTCTTAGCAGGGCTTCCTTCGATGGATGCCGCAGGATTCTTGTTCGCATTATCCAAATTGATCTGGCCATTGTCCGGGGGCTGCTCCAGGGTGTCTGACCTTTGAAACAATATAGTTAGACGTCATGTTTGCTGTGCTGGTTGGTTATTATCTACATATTCTTAGCCGGGCCTCCACGTTCCTCATTCGCATTATTCAGCTTCAGTGCATCCCGGATCTCCTTCAGGGTGCTTGACCTTTGAGACAATATAGTTAGATGTCAAGTATACCATGCCGATTGGTTGATATTTACATATTCTGAAGAAGGTCGGAGGCTTGGATTCCATTCCTGTGTATTCATGGGTGTTATGGACAACTGAGTCTAGCTTGCTACTTACTCGTTGGTCGTAAGGTCGGTTGCGACAGGTGGGGGACTTGGTCGTGATAATGGGCTTGCCATGTTTTGAGCCGGGAGAAACATAACAAAGTACGCAGGGAGAAATGGTGGAAATATATAGCTGGGGCTCTGCACGGCATCCAAAATTACGTTCTTATCGGATGCCAAGGTGTAGATGGTTGCGCCGGCGCCCGGGGTGGCACAGAATCAAGTCCCTGAGACAGGCGTTTAAAATCTACCGAGATGTTCATCAAAGGGATGAGCTTACCATACTGTCCTTGATTCTCAAGAGCATGCAGAAACACTAGATCAGCAACTGGAGAAAGGAGAGAAATAGCCACCAGAAGTATATGACTTGGACTTGCTTAACCGTGCTGCAGGCGTCAATTTTGACAGTGAAACATGATCTGATCTGGCGCCAAAGCTTGCCATGCCATATACGGCTGATGGATCCAGGGCAGTGAAACAAGGTCCTACAAAAATTATCCCTGAGGCAGAACCATTCATGGGATGTTCCGAAGTATGATAATGAAGCGCGCGGTTCCCCGTCAACCATATGACGGTTAGGCACATGGAGGGAAGCAGAGGAATCTTCGAAAATGCACGTACGATGCTTCACTGTCGAAAGGACTTTCAACAGTCACGGTCATAATATAATTCAGACCTACAGCCAGACTCGTTGAACGTTTGAACTTCGAACCACCTCAACTCGGATGAATTGCTGCAATGATGGAGGTGCGCCATCTTTACAACCATTCATCTAGCACGAAACATATCGCAGTGGTTCATTTTCATGAATTCAATGAGTTAAATGAACGAGTCGCCAGCGTTGCTATGAGATGACGGGGTCAGTACTCACGGTCAGTAGCAAGCCAAATGTCAAATTAAAAGTTAGGTATACGCCAATATTATGTAATTTGTTGTCTTGGTTCAAAGTTGATGTCAAACACTATCACAAATCAAAGGTGAGATCTTGAGAGCTTGCAGTTGCGTCGGAAACCCGTCCGTACCCTAATCCTTCTTCACGCATCGCAGTCATGGTAAAATATTATGGATATCTCGTTAGCGATAGTTGGTTGAAGCAACGAGCCCTTGATGTGAGTCATCCACCCGCCAAGAAACCCGAAGACACAAGTGATATGATTCTCCTCGGATCGAGGGATGTTATGGCACGGACAGGTGTTCTTCCTTACACCAGCTTTCGTCGAGTGAAAACTCCCAAGGGCAAATACTTCTGGTGCATTGCATTCGCTTGTGACGATCCTTGGGAGCAGTTACCAACCCACATGCCACCGGAGGAAAAATACAATGCATTGAAGGAAGCGCTGGGGAGGGAAGGCCCGCCTCGCTGGTATCGGGCCATCTGAAACACACTGTCGGTTACCTTTCCACGTCACCAATAAAACAACTGATGCTTATTTCTCTTAGGCAAACCACACAAATCCCGTCGCATCGGCGTCGCCACACACCTTGCCAGATACCGTCCAAGCTATCGAATCACAGGACGTAGTGGTACATTGGCACACAGTTATTGTCTTCCTGTTATTCGCGTGTATCCATATATTGGCCTGAGGAAGAGCTAGGATGCCACGGATCCTCTAGTAGCTCACCGCTTTAATCGGTGCCCCTCATGTGTCGGTTGTATCGAGAAGATCGTTAGTGTTGCGAATTATTGAGGTTGTTGGATATCTGATTTTGTTCATTCTGTGCTGTCACATTGCAAACTCAACGTCTTGTTGTTGAGACAATCATTTGACACCTGATTATCTTAAGTGTCTCTCGACAATCGAAGCAGGAAATTTCACAACCGTTGTCTGTGCTGCGACCCAAATTCCGAGTGAGTGAAAAGCTGAGCAAGGGGGTTGCTCGTGGTGTGTATTCCGTTCCAGCCAGGCGTACCCACTCGGCAACTTTGTATGTGGACCATCTGTCCGCACACAACAGAATCGATATTTCACCGCTCTCATGGCGCAAGATGAAAAGGCCTCCTGTTTGAGAGATCTGCCACTCGCAATAATAGATGACACTGGATCAAAGTCCTCAGCTGCAATATAATCGCATACTTGGCACACAATAAGTGGGAGCTGAGAGCGCAGTGCGCAGCATGGTGGTAGAAAGTAATAGGCCATTGTTTTCCATTATTGTGCAAAGGCTTTGTACCTGATTACATAACATTTTTTATTGTCTCAACGTCCATTGTGTGATTGTCTTCCCACGTGGGAAGACAATAGTGAAGCGGAACTAAAGCCACAATTGAAACAACAAAAATGCGGGAATGGCAGACTGGCTTTCGACGTTTCTCTCCCTTATACCATTCAGACGATTGCAGAGGCGATTTTATCGCGTAGAACGACGATGAAGAACCATGATCCAACATCAGATCCTTCAATTCGGTCAACAATTCATTCAGCTTCTTCGTCGATACTTGATATCAAAAATGACTCCAATGTCTCTGAGACAACATCAATTCACGACATTCCTAACGGTCATTCAGCACCTGTTCCATCAACGAAGCTGCTGTTCTCATTCCTCACTCCGCGAAGGAAGCTGGTTCTTCTAACACCGGCCATTTTGTCTTCTGTCGCTACCGGCGCCATCGCTCCCCTTATGACTTATGCCGTTGGGCAGTCATTCAACGCCTTTGCCGCTTTCCCATTGACACCCAACCCACCGCAATCCGCCAAGGATGCGCTACTTCATGGTGTGGGCATTGCAGCAATTGAACTCATAGCACTCAGTATTAGCGCGCTCGTCATGAGTAGCATCACGAGTAGTTTGTGGATTTCTACTGGGGAGCACAATGTCGTGGAGCTTAGACGGCTCGTGTATCAGTCTGTTGTCAACAAGGAGATGTCATGGTTCGATCTCCGGATGGGGGTCGACGGGTCTGCACCTGCGGGCCAAGTGCAAGACACGTCCGAAGATTCCCCCATAGGCGCTGGCGGCCTCATGGCCAAGTTTGCTAGGTTAGCAATTCTTTTATCTGTCTGAGCGCTTAATTATGAGTGTCTTTTCATAAATCCAACAGAGAAACCGACGACGTACGCGCAGCCTCGTCACTGGCAGCAGGTCAGCTGCTTCAATATCTAACCACCACCATAACGAGCCTTGTGCTCGCATTCGTTTGGTCACCGCTCCTCACCCTTGTCATTCTCTCAGCCGCCCCCGCATTAATCATCATTCAGGCATTCTCTCAAGTTCTGGCGGGTCCTCTCCTTACTCGTGAGCGCACCTTTACTGCAAGTGCCGCTACCGTCGTCGAGCGTGCCGTGTCTGCAATCGCCACCATCAAAGCGTTCAACGCAGCTACACACGAGACTCGGGTACTTTCCCGTGTGCTCGGACGCGTAAGCGCAGCTGCGAATGGACTTGCAGGAATCTGGGGCCTCACATGTGGCTTGAGCCAGTTTGTCACAATGGCAATGTTTGTACAAGGATTCTGGTTCGGAGCTCACCTTGTTCGCGAAGGCAAGAACACACCTGGTCAAGTCATGAGCGTTTTCTGGGCATGCCTTATTGCAACGAGCAACCTCCAAATGGCCGTACCCCTTCTTATCACCTTCATGAAAGGCAAGGTCGCGGCTGCAGAACTCGCAGGTATGATCTCCGAAGCACATCAACCATCTCCAACGCGACGTTTACAAGAACTCCGGAAAATACAACCAAAGTCGTTTTACGGTGAACTGAGCCTGACTGGCGTGTGCTTCGCATATCCCGCACGACCGGACGTAAAGGTACTCCGCGATGTAACCATGTACCTCCCCGCACACGAGACAACATTTATTGTTGGATCAAGCGGTTCCGGAAAGTCCACCCTTGGTGCAATCTTGATGGGCGTTTACAATCCGGACTCTGGCTATGTTTGTCTGGACGAGCAGGATGTGCGATATATTGACGCCGCGTACGTGTCGGGCTGCATAGCCGGCGTAGCGCAGGGCGCATCGTCTGCACCTGTCTTCCCAGGAAGCCTTCACGAGAACGTGGCTCTTGGCGCAGTGGGAAAAGGCAAGCGATCGGAGGACGTTAGTAGAGCAGAAGTAGAAGAAGCGTGTAGAGTTGCGATGCTTGAGTCTTGGGTGGTTGGTTTAGACCAAGGCTACGATACCCTATTGAGCGGTACTGGTGCGGAAGGCATTCAGTTGAGTGGTGGACAGCGTCAGAGGCTCGCAATTGCGCGTGCGCGAATTCGTGACCCTGAGATATTGATTCTCGGTAAGTTTTGCATTTCTCTCTTGTTTATCTGGTCTCTTAGTTGTGTTGTTTTGTTTCAGATGAAGCAACATCTGCATTAGACCCCCCGACTCGCGCACTCATTTTGGCTGCTATTCGGAGATGGCGACAGGACCGCACGACAATCATCATTACGCATGATGTTGCTGCAATCGAAGAGACTGACTTTGTCTACGTCATGCGGGAGGGTTCCGTGGTCGAGCAAGGCTTTCGATCAGACCTCGAGCACGCAGATGATGAATTTGCTCGCATGCTTCGTACAGGCGGTCTTGCAGTTGAAGACGACCTTCCTGGGTACGATGCAGTCGCAGCGATCCTCGCAGGGGAGGAGGAAGAAGAAGAAGAGGAAGAGCTCCCAATTCACGAACGACACATGAGCATAGCCCCGACATTGGGCGGCATGCGCCCCGTCACGGCAACGCTTGGCAACTGGATGTTCGATGTTGTTGCGGAGCTTACGAAATCGAGTACAACACCACCACCTCTTCCTACAGCAGCAGAGAAAGACAAGGACTGGCGGATGAGTCGATTTATCCCCCCTAGTGCGTTACCCATAGAAGAAATAACGGAGTTCAAGGGTGGTGCAGCAGGGAGAGAACGGAGACCGAGCAGTATGTCGATCTTCATTCCCGAAGTCACGGTTCCCCCTCGCACATACGGCGGCCACCGTTTTAGCTTGCAGTTCACCCCTACCTCTCCGACATTTTCACGCCCGATCTTCTCTTTCCCGGAGCCGGTATGCATGGTCGAAGATGACGAGGAATTCGAGACTGAGAAGGAGACATTGAAGCGCACCGCCGAGGAAGCTGCGAACAGGAGAGAGCGCAGAGAGCGCAAGCATCATGGCGTCCTACAGAGTATCGTCGTGCCTTCGTCTGGAAATGAAGACACCCAAAACCAATCTAACCTTTCACCAGCCCCCGGCCTTTTCGCCCTTCTACGCTCTGTGTACCCCACCATTCCCACCAAGCCAATCGTTTTTGTCGGGCTCACCATCTGCTTGCTAAGCGGGGCGATGACGCCCATATTTTCATTCCTCCTTTCCAAACTCATTGTTCTGGTCTCGGCTGGTGGTTCAGATGCCAGCTTGATCAACTCCTACGGCGGTCTCGTCCTCGGAATTGCAGCCCTTGATGGGCTTCTTCTTGGTTCCAAATTCTTCTTTATGGAAACCTCCGCTATGCGTTGGGTCACTCACCTCCGCGACATCGCTTTCTCGCATGTTCTCAGTCAGGACAAGAGCTGGTTTGACCGTCCCGAGAATGGTGCAGCTAAGCTCACTCAAGTCATCGTGAAGGATGGCGATGACGCTCGTACATTGATTGCTGTCGTGGTAGGCCAGATTGTTGCTGTTGGCGCGATGATGATAGTTGGCCTCCTCTGGGCGATGGCTTGGGGGTGGCAATTGACATTCGTTGGGCTCGCTATTGGGCCTGTGTTTGTTGGAGTCATGGGTCTTCAGACTAACCTTGTGGCAAAATGCGAGGTACGCAATAAGCGGGCTCGTGAGGAGGTTGCCAGGGTGTACTACGAAGTAAGTTTTTGTCATTGCCTGATGTTTCTCGTTCTTATTTGTTATGTAGTCTGTTCTCAACGTCCGTGGCATCCGTGCTATGTCTCTTGAGCCTGTTCTTCAGGCTCAGTTCGACAAGGCTGCCTCACAGTGCCTTTCCACTGGGGTCCGCGGCGCTTTCGTCGAGGGGTGCTCTTATGGTGTCGCCAGCGCTCTCATCTACTTAGCAGAGGCCCTTCTTTTCTACGTTGGCGCTGTGCTGATCGCCAGAGGCACGTACACGTACCTCCAGATGTGTCAAGTCCTCAACCTCGTCGTCTTCACCGTCTCCATCGGCTCCCAACTCATGTCCTTTACTCAAAAGATTGCCAAGTCCGTTCTGGCCACGCACGATTTGCACGAGCTCATCAAGCTAGACACGACGAGCTCCGAGTCTCAGGGTATCCTCCGTCCGAGGATCGAGGGCGATCTTATCTTCAACAATGTATCATTCTCTTACCCCACCAACCCTGATGTCTCTGTCTTGAATAAGATGTCGATGCGCATTGCAGATGGAGAGTGTGTAGCGATTGTAGGTGCTTCTGGATGTGGCAAGTCAACCATTGCGTCGCTCCTCCAACGCCTCTACGAGCCTACTTCGGGCACCATTTCGGTGGGCCTCAATGAACTTCGTGCAACGGATATCAACTATCTTCGCGACCATGTTGCCGTCGTCAGCCAAACCCCCAACCTCTTCGACGCCAGCATTCGAGAAAACATTGCCTACGGACGAGTCGGCGAGGACAATGGAATGAGCGACGCAGACGTCGAGCGCGCTGCTCGTGCAGCGAACGTCCACGAATTTGTAATGTCATTACCACAGGGTTATGACACACTCATCGGCGAGAACGCGTCTCTCATCTCAGGTGGACAAGCGCAACGTTTGCAAGTCGCACGCGCACTCGCACGACCTGCCAAGATTTTAATTTTGGACGAGTGTACTTCAGCGCTCGATCCTGCCAACCAGACGGCTGTCCTGGAGACAATACGAGCTGCGAAGGTTGGGCGGACTACTATCATGGTGACACACAAGGTTCCCGTGATGAAGATGTGCGACCGTATTCTTGTCGTCGAGGATGGCCAGGTGCGCGAGCAAGGCACGTATGAGAGTCTCGTGGAGGGCAAAGGCCTCTTCGCCAGACTTGCGAATGGTGGGGAATGGGTTAGCGAGTAAAGGCTCGCTAGCTGCTGTATTTGTTTCTTTTTACCATTGCATTCTCTTGTGTTCTAACGGCTATGATAACTTACTGCCGTGATAGCTATATCTTCGACCTTCACTGTATTTTTTTGTTTGTTCTCTCTTTATCTGCTTTATTGACTGGGCACAAATGACATTTCACGACTACGCATTTGTAGTACTACCACAATCATTTATTTACTCATCTGTACTGTAGTTATTATCAAAGGATTTACATGTTGTACAGTACATTGGCTAGCTACGTTGCAATAGAGTGAAGCTACCGTAGCGATTCTGACCTGTTCTGAAATTTCCAAATCGAATGATATGTAATTCCCCTTCATGTCTTCCTCATCTGTCACGAATTCCTCCGCAGCAGATGAAACTCTGCGCGCTCAAATTTTCCAGAGACTACACCCTCGCGTTTATCTCGAAAGGTTCATTGCCGAGAAAATCAGGCCAGATGGACGGACGTTCGATGAGTGGCGCAACGTTTCTGTGAATGTCGGTACGTGATCTATCTAACTTTTGGTGCTTACGCCATGATGTGCTTGCTGCAGGATCGATATCAACGGCTGATGGCTCTGCTCTTGTGCGTATGGGAGACACCACGATTGTTTGTGGCGTCAAGGCGGAAATCGCAGAGCCCGAGCTCGATCACCCTGAACAAGGTTTTTTAGGTGATTCTTCCACTCCTTCCTTCTACACACAACAGCAGGAGCTGATTGGTTCGAAATTTGCGTAGTACCCAACATCGATTTGCCTGCAATCTGTTCTCCAAAATTCAAACCAGGTCCTCCGACAGAAGAAGCTCAAGTTCTTTCTGATAGACTAAACGAAGCTCTTGTCGCGTAGGTCGTCGCGCTATGTGTTTGTTTGGCTTTGAACTCTTGTCTTTTCTTCTTTCCTGACACAGCTCAGGCGTGCTTTCATTATCCTCGTTGTGCATCCACCCCGGAAAAGCTGTTTGGACGCTCTATGTGGACTGCACATGTATAAATTATGATGGGAATGCGTTTGACGCGGCACTGCTAGCCATGTTGGGTGCCCTCAGAAGTAGTGAGTTCAACGTGTTGGAGGCATGCCACATCATTGATGACATGAACTAGCTACGCTGCCTAAAGCCACCTACAACGAAGAAACTGGGCGCACGACGTGTTCGCGGAAAACTCGATCGCCGGTACAATTGACTCGAAATTTTGCTTCGTCGTCTTTTGGAGTGTTAGACACGTACGTTCTCTTCTCGCTCTTTCAAAGTTATGCACTGATCTTCTACTCCTAGATCGCACGTTCTCTCAGATCCCACTGCATTCGAAGAGCCCCTGATGGACGTCACGCTGACGGTTATCGTAGATGACCGAGGAGAGCTTATCAGTACTACTGAATCAGGCGGCGCAATCTCGGAAGAGACGTTGTTGCGGTGTATTAATAGAGCGAAAGAAAGAGCTTTGCAGCTCAAAGACTGATGGTACACGAGTCCGTGTGGAGACAGTTGTGAGTGAAGAATTTGACTCTTATTGGCGTAGCCCTGCCATGATATATGAGGCGACAGTACCTTCACGACAGGAGGGCACCATCGATCGTCACGGATGTATAGTCGTTCCGTTACCGACGTCCTCGTGTGTTTTCGAACATCCGAACTTCGTCGCCGCCGATCTCAGCACTACCGTATATGGTGGTACAGTAGTTGTCAACGATTTTCTCGCAATAAATCACGCTGGATTTATCATCAATTATTATTACATTCTCCCGCTTTTTACTATTAGCATCTGCCGCGGACGGGCAGGCATGGTTTGGTGTGAGTATACATTATCGTAACGGCGATCATAGTGATAGTTGATCCACGCGGTCCACCACGATTCTGACCTCATCATCAAATTTTCCGTGGCCCGAGTAGTAACGACGGTTGTTCAAGCCATCAGGGTTGGCTTAATACACAGGAATGACTGTCGGTTTTGCTTTGGGAGACTGGCCCCTTGACAATTCATTCGTGATGAGTCTGCCCAGATCTTGACTCAAATGCTCTCCCGCGCTGCGTCGGCGTAGGGATTCAGTGTCGGACAAAGGACCACCAAACTCACCCCATGGTTTGGAAATTGATGTGGGTATTTTCTTGATGAGAGTTTATAAGTGCGGGGAGCGATGGTGGGCATATAGCATCACTCCCTCACCGAACATCACACCAATGCGGCCATATTTGATACATTTTGAAGTGCTTTACACATTCCTGGTCAGCTTTGGTGTAGAGATTCATGCCCTCTCCCCGCACTATTCTGCATGCCAATTACAACAGAATGCGGAAACCTCCCCCTTGACTGGGTGCCCAGATGGAACGCTGTTTGTGTCACCCACAGATAGCAGAGCACGTTTTAAAACTGTCCAAGCTGCTGTAGAGTCCTTGTGGGTACCAGTCAGAATTTGTCCTGTTCCATGTCTTGATGTTCACAGACCAGAGACGGGCGACGCAATAATTCTGATTGGAGCAGGAGAATACTTTGAAAAGGTCAATGTTACGCGGTCCGCGCCGCTCACTCTTCTAGTATTTGTCTTTTTATCTGTGAAGTTTAATTACCAAGACATTTCTGTATAGGGCCAACTTGATCCTAACACTGCTCGCGATCCGGCAGGAAATGCTTCTCAACGCAACCTTGTTCACATTTGGTACAATTTATACGTCCTGCCTGGGATGACAGACCAGGACACTTCAACTCTCACCGTTGCACCTCCCTCTGGACAGCAGTCAGGTAATACTGACTTCAAAGCGTATAATATCGACTTCGAAAATCGTGCTGTAAGCTTTGACGTCTTTCTTGACTCACATCTGTACAATCTTAGCGATTCAGGCCAAGTACTCGATTTCTCAAGCTCTCGCTGGCTCCTTCATACATGCAAATGTTTCCTTCTATGGCTGCACCTTTGCCAGCTGGCAGGATACATGGTACACTGGCGTCGACGCATACTCATATGCTGTTGACACCATAATATACGGTCAAACTGATTGTGAGTCATGTGGCCTTGATTCGTGTAGGTTGCAGTTGCTAACACTGTTTTAAGATCTTTTCGGATCTGGAATGGCGTAAGGATGCATCAATGTATGTATAAACACCCTGAGTAACTATTGGAATAGCTGGTTCCAAAACGTCATTTTGGCCAACCGAGCTTGTGGTGGTGGTATCGTAGCATGGGCAGGTACAGAAGGCACCAGGAATGGAGCATTCATTGCCGATTCGAAAATCATTCAGGTCAGTCTTTTTTTTTACAGTGATTACTTGATCTGATTGTTATTTTCTTTCACTATTCAGTCCCCAGATGCAAATAGCACCACCGTCACTGATAGCCGATGCTACCTCGGTAAGCTAGAAATGGAGAATACACTTTAATTATAGTACTAAGGCACTTTCTTCCCTATGTAGGACGCCCGTGGAATCCCCTGGCCATCGCCGTATATTTGCGCACATATATGGATGAGAGCATTCATCCTAATGGTTTCATACACTGGTCCCACAAGTAAGCACGATTGCAAGATAATGACACCGATCTCTAACTTGTTCATGACAGAACATCTGTTCCAAAAACTGCATACTTCGCAGAGTATCGTTCGTCTGGTAAGCCTTGTGCCTTATGCTGCCGGTGTCGGATCCTTATGTCGCTCGCAGGTCCCGGAGGGAACACGTCGAAACGTTTACCCCAAGAGTATATATTGACCGACACGCAGGTGAATGAGAAATTCTCACTGGAGTCAGTGTTCGCCGGTAAACCAACGTGGATTGACTTTGAATATGTGGCGTAAGCGGGGGCTGCAGTGTTTAGCGGTGTTAGAGTGGAGTTTGCCGGTAGAGAGTTATAAGTCGGGAGTGCGCTGTGTGGGAAGAGCAACCCATCGGATCTCATCCTTCCTCGAATATCATCCGGTGCGAGAGCAGGCATACCCCGCTCCAGTGTATTAATGGATGTTGCCATGCTGTTCGTACTTCCAATGCTTGGATCTACGTTTTATTGCTCTGTATCGCTAGACTTTCGCGAGTCGTGAGCTATTTACCTTAGATGATTGCCCAACCGAGTCGTACCGTGTTAAAACAGCCGTCCATCATGATGCGCACTGTCCTTCGTCGCAGCCAGAGTCCAGGAAGAAAGGCAGTGTTGAGTAGTAAGAAGCTGAAGTATATTGATTCATCGAGATGGCGACTAATGCTATTCCCGACCGTCGCTGATTTCTCTTGCAATGGTGAGTTGATGGCTTGATGTTGATAATTGATCTTAAAGATGTCCAACTCATTCGACTGAGTGCTGTACATTCCCTGCCAAAGTCAACAGTCGATTTTCATCCGCATGTCCTCGAGGTTCAGAAACTCCCTATCAGACTGGATCTAAGGGGTCGGCGGTGGGCACATAACCGCATTTACTTATTCGAGCGCCAAAATCCATTTCCTTACATATGGTACATCATAACGGACAGAACGAAGGAATTCCTACTTGATTCCTACTGCAAGCCCCGGATCATGCAGTAATTATACAGAACTCAGATTGGTGAACAATGACTATACATATTTGAAGGAGTAAATGTCCAGAAGACGGGGTCCTCAGAAGAAGAAAAAGCGAGGGGATCGGAGACAAATTCCTATACATATAATATCTTCAATCCATACGCCCATTTATCGTCATCATCTCTGTCAGCTTCGCAACTTTCATTCGGGGAATAACATCAATTTCAAATGGCGCTGCATGAGAAATAACCGCATCACTGAAAGCGTGCGTGTTGATTGGGGCGCCAGGTCGTTGAGCAATGCGGAAAGACCACAAGAGAAGGGCGATGTTGATGTACAATGAGTGATTTGCAAGGTGCATGCCGGGACATACACTTTCAATGACGCATGAACCTCATTGATCAGTGTCAAAAAAGGTAGGCATGACTTACCGTCTACCAAAGCCATATACGATGAACTTCATATCATCCTTAAGGCGGCCTTCTGAATCAAGCCAACGCTGTGGATTGAAAACATCAGGATCTGGGAAGGCGATAGGATCACGAGAAAGAGTCCTGAGAAGTGCGCTTAGTGAAGCGATGTACACCGCAAAGCAACACTTTACCAATGGCACCCATAGACTATTGCACCCTCTGGAATGCAGTATCCTTGCTGATCACACACAGACTAGAATGAGAACGTGGATCATAACGAATTCAAGACACTGACCCAAAAAATATCCTTAGTTGCACGGTGGGGAAATCCTGAGGCGCATGTCAGCATCGTGCAGGAATGTGCCGAATTTGAAACTCACCTATACGGACGATAGGTCTCCATCTCAAGGCTTCCAATAAGAACGCATGTAATTGAGGGAGCGAGCTCGAGTCTTGAAATGTTGGTGCTACCACACAAAATTGATCAAAAAAATCAACCTCTTCATACCCCTTGGCATACCTCTGTCTGACCCGATGACCATATCGAGCTCCTCGTGTACTTTTGCCTGAGCCAATGGATGGCACGCCGCAGCCATGATAATAGCGGTAATTCCAACAGCGGTCTCAACAAAAAATGAGTAAGCTCGCGGAGATTATAAGTTACCCGACTTGCTGTATCAGATCCCGCCGCAAAGAATGTTCCGGCAAGATACGACATCTCATCTGTAGAGAGTTGGTGTCCTTCTGTGTTCTCCAAAAGTGTCTTGGTAAAAGATGAGCCAGCTATGTTTTGATCCTGGGTACAACATGACATAAGTGACATACGTTTATTGAGACAGAGAGCTCCTCACCATTTCACTCTTGACGCGGCTTAGTTGATGCCTGTAGAGCTCTAGCTCCTCATTATGCCACTCATAAAGTTGTTTTCCGTAACCGGGCAAGTAGCGCAAAAGGGGTACACGATCGACGAGATAAGCTCCTGGGCGAATTGCAACCTGGAAGCGTTCAGTGATTGTGCGGATACGGATAATTTCCGGATCGGTGTTGGCAGTAGGCGCAGACTTTCCATAAGCCACCCGAAGAATGACTGATACTGCATACCTTGGGCACCATATCTATGAAAAGATCACAAAAGGTCTTGATATTAACGTACCGATGTGCGTGCTTCTGGTGGTTCTTCGGGTCATTCAGCATGTCCAATATAAAATCCATCGCGTGCTCGCGCTGCATATCTTGGTATGTCTCTGCCGCTTTTGGTTGTAGATGGGTGTGTATTGCTTTGCGAAGGCGTCGTAATCGATATCCGTAACGAGCCAGGACTACACGCATTCCATTTGAGAGCATCTCACCCGCGGCAATCGACCGGGGTCGATCTACCAGTAACGCACCCTCTTTCTCCATGATGTCTGTGGCTGCCTATTAAGGGGACCGATGTCTGGTCACTGTCGGAGGAAGCTCAAGGTATGGGCAATATACCTCAATGCTGCCAATAACAATTATCACTTGACTACCTTGTCGGAACGACACAATTGGTCCATATTCTCGAACCATGTCGGTCAGTGCATGGCAAATGCTGAGTGGATTATCTGCATCAGCTTCTGATATCTCGGATAGAAACTCACTTCACAGCAGGTAAGGCGTTGCACCAGAACCAACGGGCGGGAGGCCCGGGAGGAAGCGGGATGCCCTTCCTACCCGCTAAGGGGGACATCTATAAAACATGACGAATAACACTACGAATGCGGCTGCGGCGACACCTGCAGCATAGTTGGCACTTGTGACGAAAGTTTCCATCCTCACAATGTCAAGTGAGATGGAATAAGACAGTATGAATGAGAATTAGATGTCTGAATCGGTATGATGAGCTGTACTTATCCGATTCGGTGTCCAACATCTTATGATGATACTAGTGACCTGGCACGCAACCAGTTAGAAGTCACTAGTCCGGGCCGATACCCGATTGACTACACGAGTTCTCAAATATCGGACTCGTGACCAGCCCGTCTATGAGGCAAACCGTCAATAGACGGACTGATAAACTGTTTGCCAGCCGCCGCTGAGCGGATCGAAGATTCTCATGATAACATTAACCTAACCTCTGGCCAATGAAAAAACAAGACTTTTCAACTTACTTTGCTTGGGGCCCACGACATGCGCTAGTATTAGAAGGCTAGAAGAAGGACAAATTCAATAGTATCCCTACAAGTACATGACTGTTTACTTGCCGAATTTCAGCTACCTTCACATCGATCGGCCATTGTTCGAGCTGGACAAACAAAAGGGTACCGTCCCGCCTATCACGATACAAGATACCCTAGAAATGGCAAGCTAGACTTGCGCAGCTTTCTCATTTTCGGACACCGTTCTCACCATATAATAATATGGTTGGAAATCGCCGTCACATTCCAGCGACGGCCAGCCGTAAAGCACCATTGAATGGGTCACTATGTCTGCCCAACTGTCATCCAAGGCCATAGCACAAGTCACTAACACAAGCCGCCGAACTATCAACCGAGTTCTTCGGCTCTGTTGTCAGGATAATTGTTACTTGATATCTACTGTACAGCTGAGAATTGGTATTGATACTCATCGATATTTCGACGCCCTGCTCCCTTTCCTCGCCCGCCGAATCAGTCAATATTGTGCAGTCCAGTAGCATTCTGGGGTATCTCGTCCGACGAAGTATCGGTGAATGAACAGAAATGGATTCTGGCCTATGGATGTGAAGTAGCTGTTACAGTCCGCTCGGCAGACGCTCAAATTCAATGTCCGACATCGGCAGTGGCGGCAAGTGACAACATACTTATGACGTAGACTAGATACCTACAATTTCCCAATGGATTTCACTTGGAATATGATAATAGAATGTGTGGAATGTGCTAAATGAAGTAGCTTATAATTAGGAATTGGTGCAAAATTTATTTTAGCAAACGAGTTACGAAAATAACGAAATGGTGGAGTGCGCGCATACTCGGAGTGAAAACTTGAAATTGTCAAAAAGATCTGGGCCTTGCTGGGAATCGAACCCAGGCCACTTGCACTTGTGATCACCCAAAGCAAGTATCGTACCTCTAGACTACAAGGCCTTGATGTATGTCCAGATATGATGACCCATATTGTTCAGGCAACAGACATGGCTCGGCTGACATTGGGCTGACATTGACCAGTTGTGTTAAAGTCTATCGTTTTGTACGGGGCTTTGGCTCCAGTATTCTTCTCTTTAATGATCAGTACTGTATATATCATGCACTCCTTAAACCCTTCCACTCTTTTAGCTTCTAGATCGCTTCGTACTACACTTTCGCCAGCGCGTCCTTCGAGCTTCGATGAACTGGAGGAGATTGTGAGAGAGTACGAGGCCAATGAGAAGGAGGTCACGGCGAAAGCTGTAGCGCATCCAATCGTACAGCCCATACCCTTGCGTCGACCGAACGTAATGTCTCTCGCGCACATCTTGTGCTTCGATCCTGGAGTTATTTCGGATCAAGCAACAATAGAAGAGAGCAAGGACAACGTGTCTGCCCCATCATCGCAGTACACTGGCATAGAGGTGTCAAGTTGGGATGAACCTGCTGGTAAGTACTTTGTAGGTCGTGAAGGATGCACTTATCAAGAAACCACCGCTAGCACCCTTCGAGGATATGGATGTTTACCTCAACTACTTTGATGAAGATGGGGAAGATATCACTCAGCCAAATTCACCCGTACAGTGGAGTGCCTCTCCGATGCTTGGATGGATACCTCCCAGTGGTTGCGAAGACATCGAGGTCGGTTACGAGGATCTGACGTGCTATTCAAGAGTTCCAAATTCAACCTTGCACCGCGTTCCCCGGGCATCTGATGAACCGGTGCATGTCAATCCATACCCAGCCACGCGACCAGCAGACGTGAGAGCCACACCAAATCAATCGACACATCCCCCTGCACAGCTTCCACGAACACGAGTCGTACTGGCCCCAAGCCAACGCACAGGAGCGAAGAGCAAGAGCAGAGACCGCAAAGCCAATTCGCGGGTGTCTTGTGGGTATGGGCAACCGCCGAGGGGTGGGATTCCTCCTGCGTTAGCTCGAGATGTGACGAAGTTTCATGCGCTACGCGCTGAACAGGAACATAAGCGCATGCGTGCTGCAGCTGCGAGAGCTGGTGAAGGGAGGAAGCCCAGTGTGCTACAGAGGGCCAGTGCGGAGACTGAGGATGGAATGGGGAGGATCTGCTAGTCACTGTTCCTCCACGGATGTTGATGGTCCACATGGTGTCTGTTACAGAAACTCTATTTGAGAGAGACTTGAATCAAACATCTTTATGGTTCTGCACACTGCAATGATTATTAGTTCACTACCCACGACGACGACAACTTTGAAGCAATTATTCTAGTCTGTGTGATACCGTGTCGCCATGTGAGTTGAGCAGTGCCCGTCGTGAGAAAACCCGAAACCATAGGCTAGCTGGAAATAGGACACTTTCCCTTTGCTCAGCTACAAACCGTTCAACGGGTCTCATTCGCTTCTTTCCCTGCTCCATCCACCTCGTCTTTCTCTGTGTCTGCCAGAGCATTTCTTTCCTTTCTTTCCTACCCAATTCTTCCTACTTCCTTCCCTAGCAGGGTAATTGCTTAACAACGCGCTCGCCACGAGCCGCCCGTCTGCTGGCATGTCACTCCATCAGAGGCTTGAGGCCGCCAGTGACCTCTCTGGCTTGTCTTCCATATCAGAGGATCTCATTGTCTCATGTCTTCGCGAGCGTTTCATGTCTGAATCAATTTACACCAACATCGGTACCAATTCCCTTGTCGCCGTGAACCCCCACAAGTATGTGTCTTCCAACGGCGACTCCGTCCTTCAAAAATATGCCTCAGATTATCGCGACACAACGGAAAACAAGTCTCCATTAGCACCTCATATTTTTCAGCTCGCAAATAATGCCTACTACCACATGAAACGAACTGCCCAGGACCAGTCTATTCTCATCGGGTAAGTGACCCCCATCAACACATGCATTACATCATCTGAAATAAAACCGCTTTCATTATAGCGGTGAGACTGGCAGCGGAAAATCAGAGAACCGCAGACTCGCCATAAAGACCATTCTTGAGCTTTCCGTCTCCAATCCAGGAAAGAAAGGCTCCAAACTCGCTACCCAATTACCCGCCGCAGAGTTTGTCATCGAGTCCTTTGGTAACGCCCGCACTTTGTTCAACCCAAATGCTTCTCGCTTCGGGAAATACACGGAGTTGCAGTTTACTGACCGTGGGCGCCTCTCCGGTGTTAAGACCCTCGACTATTACCTCGAGCGCAACCGCGTATCTTCCGTGCCATCCGGAGAGCGCAACTTCCACATCTTCTACTACCTCGTGGCAGGTGCAACTCAGGAAGAGCGCCAGCACCTCCACCTCTTGGATAAAACCCAGTACCGTTATCTCGGTCAGCGTGGTGCTATCCCAGCACGCCAAAACGGTGTGCGGGATGATGACGCCAACCGCTTTGAGCAGCTCAAGGTCGCTCTCAAGACAATTGGCTTGTCCAAGCGACACGTCGCTCAAACTTGCCAACTTCTCGCTGCCATTCTCCACCTCGGCAATCTTGAGTTTACCGTTGACCGTGGTCGTGACGTTGACGCTGCTGTCGTGCGTAACACAGATGTCCTTGGCATTGTTGCCGAATTCTTGGGTGTCCAAGCGGGTGCTTTGGAGGGCGCAATGTCCTACAAGACTAAGCTTGTAAAGAAGGAGCTCTGCACCGTCTTCCTTGACCCCGATGGTGCATCTGATAACCGAGATGATCTCGCAAAAACGTTGTATTCTCTTCTCTTCGCATGGTTGAACGAGCATATCAACCAGCGGCTGTGCCGTGAAGACTTCGACACGTTCATTGGCCTTTTCGACCTCCCCGGACCACAGAACATGACCAGTCGCCCCAACTCTCTTGATCAGTTCTGCATCAACTTTGCCAATGAACGCTTGCAGCACTTCGTCCAAAAACGTATCTTTGAGGCTCACGTGGACGAATATCAGAACGAGGGTATCTCACGTTTTGTTCCCACTGTCTCCTACTTCGACAACTCCGAGTGTGTGCGACTGCTTCAAAACAAGCCGGGTGGTCTTATCCACATCATGGATGATCAGGCTCGCCGCTCGCATAAGAAGACTGATCATTCGATGGTGGAAGCCTTTGGCAAGCGCTGGGGCAACCACTCGTCGTTCAAAGTCGGTGTCATAGATCGTTCTGGTTTCCCCACGTTCACCGTCAATCACTTCAACGGCCCTGTCGCCTACTCCGCTGAGGGCTTCTTGGACCGTAACCTCGATGCTCTTAACCCTGATTTCGTTTCCCTTCTTCGTGGCTCAGCTTCGGGCATTTCTGATGGCGCGGAGGGTGCTGGATCAATGAACCCCTTCGTTAAAGGCCTCTTCTCGGGTAAGGCTATTGCAACACAAGCCCACCCCAAAAACGAAGATACCATTGTTGCTGCCCAGCAGCCCGTCAAGCCCATGCGCGCTCCCTCCACTCGCCGCAAGGGCACAATTAAGCGCATGCCCACGCTGCGGGAAAGTGGCGTCGATGAACAGGATCGGGAAGACGACGATATCACTGCGTCCGCTGGGAGTGGCACACCTTGTGTCGCAGGCGAGTTCCGTTCCGCGCTCGACACGCTCTTCGAGACTCTAGGAGACACGCAGAACTGGTATGTTTTCTGCATTAACCCGAATGACTCGCAGCTACCCAACCAGCTCGAGGGTCGGTCTGTTAAGGGCCAGGTGCGCAGTCTAGGCTTAGCGGAGATCGCGAAGCGCAATGTGAATGTGTTTGAGGTGGGGATGACGCCGGAAGAGTTTTGTCAGAGGTA